GCTTTGATACTGGTTGCTTGCAGCAGCAGTGGTCACTGGTCACTGTGGCACAATCTCGTGTTTCATCACAGTGGCCTCAAAGCAGTAAATGGTTGTTCTGCAGGTTGTTAAAGGAATGAGAAATAGGTCTGGTGCCTTTAGCTTGGAGCACGCAGCACAAGGTAACCTCCACAAGCCCGCCAGATGGTGTTTCAAAGCTTTGTCTGCTTTACCATAATTCCACATTTCCTTTTTCCCTGGAAGTAAGACGTGCTAGCAAACAAATCACTTGAACAACAATTGGTTTTCGGTATTTTTAGCTCATCTTGGCTTCTTGTGTGTGGAACAGGTCAAGCAGCCAGAGCTGTGAGTCTGAGTGCAGGAAAGAGATTAGCATGCACTTACCCATGAAGTTGTAGTGGTGGTAGGAGGATGAGCCTCTGGTAGTGCTTATTTTTACTCTCCCACTTAATATTTTATAGACTTAAAGGACAACAGAGGGGGGAAGGAGCTCAATTAGCTGCTTCTCTGTCCTGATCTCTCCCCGTTGGCTAGAAGATGCAGCTCCATATAGTCAAGAAGTGAGAGGTGCTGTGATTTTATTTTTCAGCCTTGCCACGTATTTCCAGGCATTGCCTGCATTTTGGTGGAGCGATTGAAATGCACCTCCCGATTTCATTTTGCAACTAGATTAACTTTGAGGGTTGGGAGGCATTAAAGCTGGGATTTCTGGTGAAACACATGAATTACTATGTTGGCCCCTGGAGGCAGAAGATGCTCCAGAAAGAAATCATTGCATGTCCAAGGCATTGGACAACCAGCCAGGGAGCTTGTAGAGGATCTCTTGCTCACATCTAGTGCTTCCTGCGTCAGTCCAGAGTTGCCTGCTGCTATATGCCAGCCTGATGGGGGGGCTGTACTCAAGCATGGCCCTGATTTCCAAGACTTCACCCCAAACCCCAGCCCTTCACCCGATGGAGCTACCGGCTGCTGCCCAGAGCAGGTGTGTGAGTGTTTTCACCAGGAAAGACAGGAAGGAAAATCCACGTGGTGCTGCCTGGGTCACAGAATCACAGAATTGAAGGGGTTGGAAGGGACCCTGAAAGATCATTGGGTCCAGCCCCCCTGCCAAAGCAGGTTCCTTAGAGCAGGCTGCCCAGGTAGGTGTCCAGATGGGCCTTGAATATCTCCAGAGAAGGAGACTCCACAACCTCCCTGGGCAGCCTGTCCCAGTGCTCTGTCACCCTCACCATGGAGAAGTTCTTGTGCATGTTGGTGCAGAGCTTCCTGTGCTCAATTTTGTGGCCAAAACCCCTTGTCCTGTCCCACAAACCACTGAAAAGAGGTTGGCCAAATCCCTCTGTCTCTCTCACCACATGTATTTATACACATTGATGAGATCCCCTCTCAGTCTTATTTCTCCAGGCTGAACAGCCCCAGGTCTCTCAGCCTTTCCTCACAGGGAAGATGCTCCAGGCCCTGGATCATCTTTGTGGCCCTCCGCTGGACTCTTTCCAGGAGACCCCTGTCTTGCTTGTACCGGGGAGCCCAGAACTGGACACAGTACTCCAGGTGAGGCCTGACCAGGGCAGAGTAGAGGGGGAGGATCACCTCCCTTGACCTGCTGGCCACGCTCCTTTTAATGCATGCCAGGATCCCTATAGCCCTCTTGGCCATGAGGGCACACTGCTGGCTCATGGTCAACCTGTCGTCCACCAGGACCCCCAGGTCCTTCTCCTCAGAGCTCCTCTCCAGCAGGTCATCCCCCAGCCTGTACTGATACGTGTGGTTGTTCCTTCCCAGGTGCAGGACTCTGCACTTGCTCTTGTTAAACCTCATTTGGTTTCTTCCTGCCCATCTCTCCAGCCTGTCCAGGTCTCGCTGAATGGCAGCACAGCCTTCTGGCGTGTCAGCCACTCCTCCCAGCTTTGTGCCATCGGCGTACTTGCTGAGGGCAGACAAGGCAGACAAGCCCTGGCGTGTCCTTGTCAAAGCCCCGAACACTTTTTGCTGATGTCTCTGTGCAGAAATGTTATCTCCTGCCATCAGGATCCTCCCACATCCTTATCAAAAGGACTTTGGCCATTCCTTACTAAATAAACATAATTATGTAAAAGGCTTCATAATTGCTTTCCCCTCTTCGCAGCCAGGATCCCAGGCTGTGGTGAACATCTTGGGTCCATATGAATAGCACATCCAGTCTGGGAGCTGGTGCTCATTTCATTTCTCTGCTACAGAAACCTGCCAGGGTTTAGCAAACAGGCTTGAAGGGAAGTTTTAATTCTCCAAGTGCCAAGGCGTATGATGTGCCCGGCCTTATTGGAGAATTGCCCACAACCGTGGGGTATCTTCTGTGGCTTCCCAGACACCAGGATTGGCCCCCAGAATAATGCAGTATTGAAGCAGCCAGATTCAGTGGCTTCAGGGACAGTGGCACAAAATGTTCCAGCTTAATGAAGAAAAGCTTGGGCAACGCAGCGCATTATTTTGGAAAAAGAAAATGTCAGCCTATTCATTACCCATCCGCCCTTCTGATGGCAAACAAAATTTCAGCCCCGTTCTGCAGCAGATCTCTCCTCTTCCTGGCTGTGTACATGTGGTGAGTTAGGCCAGCTCTTGGGTCTCTTCTGGACTTTTTTTTTTTTTTTTTAAATGTGTTAATTAATAGAAAGGAAGCAAAGTCAGTGTGAAGCTCCAGGACAACCTCTAGAAGATGCTCAAAACCCCACACCTCATCCAGCAGGCGGGGAGTCACTAGGCAGCTGCATTTTACAGGCACAAAGCACCAGGTGCTTCACCCCAGGCGTGAGGCTAGAGCTTTTGGTACAAAATGAAGTTTTAATTGCAATGCAAATGAGCATGTACCTCCTTTGGCTTTGGGCCATTCGTGCTGAGATGTCTCTGGTCTCTCCACCAAAACTCTGTAATGCATGCAGAAGTGGAGTGGCCAGGTTGCTGTCCTGATGGTAATGAACTACCTCAGAAAAGCAGAGGTCCTACAGATGGGTTTCTTTCTCCTTCCTTGGTGAAGGTGGGCATTGTTTTAATCCTCAGCTGTAATTACACCTGCCCAAAATGTTCAGATAAAGCTTCTGACTGCAAAATGCAGCTATCCCATACCTGTGGTCAGAAACTGCACAGTCACAAGGCAGTCCCGTTGCATCATCCTGCATTTTTGGTCTGGTTTTGGAGAGAAATGTCACGTTGGCATCTCTAAGGCATGCTGGCTCTTTTGTTTTTGCTCTGCTGTGGTTTTTAGGCCATTCCCTTGGAGAGAAGCAGGCAATAGTGAGGCACCACAGATGGAGCTTTATGTCCTTCACCTCTGAGGTCCATGGAAAAGCCTGTGATATAACTCAGGGTGAAAATGAGGATTAAAGAAAAAGGAAGAAAAGCAAAGGGGCAGAATGGACAAATAAGCACTCTAGTTAGTCTCTTTTTAAACCTGCTTGGATTGGAGTTTTCCATGGGAAGAGCATCCAGAAGGCTAAAGATGGGTGGGAAGTCCCTGGTGTCCTGAATCCTTCCCTCTGTCTCCCCTGTGATTTTCTTTCTCCATCACCTTTCCTGCATATGCCAACACTGGAAGATCAGGATGGAAGGATCCATTTTCAGATGGTTTGTGGAAAAGATTGCAGACTCCTATGAATTGATATAAGGGAAGTGTTTGGTTTGATTTGGTACCAGCCCTTGATGACTTACAGGAGACCAGGAAACACTGTTTCTGTGCAACCTGGTTTCCAGCCATAGCTACCATTGCTTCTTAAGAAACACTTTCCTGGCTGTTGTCTTGGAAATCCACCTTTTCTGGAGGTGCTGGGTTGTTTTTTCACAGGCAGGAAGGAGCTCAGAGGGATTTAACCAAGCTCTTAGTGCTTCAGCTGAGGGTTTTGCAGTCCAGACAGTCCCTTTTCTGTGCCAAAAAACTTGCTTTGTTCTGCACTTCTGATCCAGGGTGGGTGGGCATAGTCAGGCCATGTAGGGTAGATAGGGACCTGTGGGTCCCCATAGCCTCATTGAGCAGTCTTTTTAAAAGGAAAAAGTTTAAGATATTCCCCCAAACCTGTTCTGAGGTACTATCAAACTTCCTTTTCCTCCCTAACGTACAACAACAACTGAGTTGCCCTTCCTGGAGCCACAGAGCCACAGTGAAGTCTTTTTCTTGACTCTTTGGGTTCCCTGGGGTGAGATGACAGGGCAAATCATCACCTTCCAAACCTTGAACACTCAATTTCTTCACATTTCATGATGATCTAGCAAATACATCACCTTCAGGAAAAGTTCTTGTTCTTCCTGCTAATTCACAGCCTACTCCTGTGGTGTACCATCTAGTTTCTGTCCTGGGACTTAATAAATGTGGCTCCCCCAGGGCTGGTGCACAGCTTGGAGCAACCTTGCAAAACCCTTGGGCACTGTGTTTGCGGAGCATCACGGCTGGGTATGCCTGAACACTGCACCGGGGTGGACTGGCCCAAGCTGCGTAACAGCTGTGTGTCCAGAAGAAAGAACACAAATTAAGGTAAAGGATTGTTAAAGGAAGGAAAAACAGGATCATTAGCTCACGTGACTCATTTCCCACCCTGATCAGGTGCTTGGTGCACCTCTGCCTTAGGACTCAGCTGTCAGGTCTGAAACTGCTCTGGGGTGGTGACAGCCAGGATTTGGGTGCCATGCTTGGAGGCCAGGGGGCTGTGGGGTGGATTTAGTGGACCGTGGTGGCTTGGTGGTGGCCCAGAGCAGAACCAGTGGGGTGTCTCTCTCCCAGGCACCCACATCCAGGACTTCGGCATGGAGCTCACCAGGAATATCTGTCAGCCTATACAGAGATGAAGCATGCTGTTTTCTGCCAACAGCAAGGGCAGAGTGTTCCTTTGGTATCGCAGTGAGGAGATAACATATCAGAAAACCGTTCTTCTCCCCACAAGCCAGTCCAAAAACTGCTGAATCAAAGGGAGATACTGAATGTGACCTTGAAGTGATTACTCAGGCTGCCTGTGCTCAGTGCTAGCTGGAACATTAACCCCTGGAATTAGGAGACATGGAAGAAATGGTGGTGGAAGAAGAAAACAGCACCTCCTGCGATGTTTGCCTGCTGGAAGCTGAGTAGAATGGAAAATGTCACATGTGGTCCTATCCTTAAATTCCCTCGAAAACTCATGGGAGTTGGGGAAAGCAAAGGTGTATTGCTCAGGGGGGTTTTAAATTCTCTGCAAGCAAGAGCAAGCTGCCACTGTCTCAGGGATATGATGGCTCCTGAAGACACAACTCTTTGAAGAAAACATGTTTTAGCAGCTGGTGGATTAATGCATGATGCAACCAAGCTGGGGCTCAGAAGGAAAACAGACAGAAAAAGCAAATGTTTAAAAGCTGAGAGTATGTCCACATATTTAAGTTCTTCTTCTAGTGAAGTTTGGAAGCCCTTGAGACTGATATCCCATGAGAATTCAGATTCACAGCAGGATGTGGAGCAGCAACCATCTTGCAGCCTGGTCAAGCTGTGATGAAAAAACAAAGAGGGAAAATCCTTGTTCCCGTAATCCTCATGCACCACAGCTGATCTGTGTAATCCCGGAAAAGGTTATTTTGAAGATACAGGCACTGTTAATAACTTATTAAAAAAAAAAAAAAGGCATGGAAAAAAAACAAAACACACCTGTTTTGCGATAAATGTTATTGATCTGTTCCTTATCTTACACAGAGCCTGACTCATGGGATTGTAACAGCAATACTTTTCAAGCTGGACCTTTCAACTTGAAGTAGATTTCAAGCAAGGAGATGTTTCTCTAACCCCTGGGACTGGCAAGGGACCTCAGGTACAAGCAGAATTGGATGTACAGAAGCCTCACGGCATCCAGAATATAGACAGAGAACCCCTAATAAGCTGCATAGCAAGGTAAGTTTGCATGAGATGTTGTTGCGATTTCATAGTACAAATGTTTACTTCTTTTGGTATTGAGCTGTGTAATCACTTGGAAAAACAAACAGAATTTCGTATCATGTAGTCATGTTTTGGGATGGCGCTGCAATATCCATCATCTGGGCAGGTTGTGATGAGTTGCATCTAGCTGGCAATTCCAGCTTACAGAATAAAATGCAAAGTCAAAAAAGGGAGGAAGGAAACCTGTGATATTAGATTTCTTGCCACTAGAAGATTAGCTGGGTGAAATCCAGCAGTGAGCACAGCTGATTTATCTTACCATGGCAAAATAAGTTGATAGAAAGGTCACCTATTGCAAGTCTGGGTGACCAGTTGGCTTGCTGGTGGTGATATTTCTTGTTGCCATGCTTCCAAGACCATAAATGCTCTTTTCAGTGGTTCTGCAGTAAGATGATCTACTAACACACCCAAGGATGCATGAAAATGAGCAAAACTATTTTAAAGGCTTAATTTAAGCTAATTTAAAGGCTTTATTTGAAAGGCCTTGTATGGATGTTTCCAAGAATGGCAAAAGGCACATCTTTGGTACAACTGCCTGAGGGAAGCTCTTGATGCAAATCTCAGATACCAGAACAGGGCAAACTGAAAGTCACCTTTTTACATAGGAGAAAATAGTACATTTTCCCATAACCATATTTTGAATATTTTTTTCTTGTTAATCTTTAAACTGAGGTGGCGTAACAATATACACAAAGGAAATCCAAAGATCTCAGCTCTGGAAAGCTGTCACAACCACCACTTTTCATATCCTGGAGAAAGCTGCCTTTTCCCATGCAATGGGGGTATTTGCTTTGCCCTGGGTTTCCTAAGTTAACCATTATTATTATGAAAATATTGTACACACTGAGCACGAGCAGCAAAAATGTGGTGAGGCTTCAGGCCGCAGCACCTCTCTTGGTGATTATAGGATCTGATGAAAGATTTAGGGTTTTATTCGAAAGATTTTTTCAAAAGAGCAAGCAAGGTGTCCTGGTAAACGCGGATGCCTAGTGACAGGGAGCAATTGCTGCACATAGCAGATATGATTTTGCTGTCTTAAGCAGAATGGGTAAAAAAATAAAGATATCTGTCACCACTTCCCATCCGTATCACTGCCTACTCTGCCCCACCTGGGGGACACACGGGGTGGGGAATGCAAACCATGGCCAGCTCGTGGATCACCTCGGGGCTGACCTCTCTGCCTCTCTCACGGGCTCCCCTCTGCTTTTGCAGGGCCCCCTGACATGTGTGGAAAGAGGCACAAGTGCTCCTTCTCCCGCCTGGAGGTGGTCCTCATCGTTCTCCTGGCGCTGATGATAGCGGTGACCGTGGCACTCCTCGTTCTCCACTTTCTCACCCAAGAGAACAGCTCCAGCAATGGCAAGTTAAGCTACTTCGGTACTGCCCATCACAGCTCTCTGCCATCCGGAGGGCTTGGTGGGGTGGAGGGAGGATACAGGAGGAGGGAGAGGAGATGCAAAAGCGTCCGATTTCGTCTTGTGGCAGCAGGGTTCAGGAACCTTTTTCAGGGCTGCTGGCCAGTGACAATCATCCCAAAATGAAAAAATAGCATGGTGGTGTCTCATTCCCAAATCATTTGCAGACTCAAGCCATTACAAATGTGCTCTCCTTCCCCCCCCCCCCCCCCCGCCCCCCCTTTTTTTTTTTTTTCAGAGGGCACCAATTTTTGCATAAACCTGGATATTATCCTGGTTTTTGGCTGCTCCCACAATGAGGCGATGTGCATGGCATGCCCCAGGGCCACATGTTCAGGTCAAATTAATCCATTCCCACCTGAAGCAGTTTGCTCTTTTTGCAAAGTTTAGAAATATGTTATTAAAAAAAAAAAAGTCAAAATGAGCTATGAAGCTTCTTTCTAAACCCAGAGAATGAGAAACTGAGGAGCTTGGCAGCACTTGCGATCCCACCACAACTCGCTTATTCCCTCCAACCCCATCACCAGGCATGGGGCAGCTGGGTGGCATGAGCTGCCCCAAGAAACCCTCAATCCACTTCTAATATACCCCACACTTGTTTTCTGGAGAGAGAAAATATCATGGGGGTACAAAAGAAAAGCAAAAACAAAAAACACAGCAAATCAATCCAAATGAAAAGAAAAAAAAAAAAACACAACAACACACAAGCATTTTCAAGCTTTAGGTGTTTCCATGTGGTAGGAGCCCTTTCCCAGAGCGTTGCCTGATTAGTCAGCAATGAGGACTTCCACTTCCTTGATTTTCTTCTTGAGTTACGTGGAGTTCATGCTTCCCTCTAGTTTTTAGGTTGTAACGTGAGAATTTTGCACAAGCGCCTTTCCTCCACATTACATCTCTCTGAGGAGGAGGTGGAGCAGCAGTAATTTTAATGGGAACCCCTCCCCTTCATTCACACTGCTTTGTCTCTCTGCAGCTCCTGTGCTCGGTCTGTGGCCGATGAGAGTGTTTTGTTTCTCCCCTGTTTTAAGTAACAGTCTAGGAAAGGCCGTGGTGGGAAGAGCAAGTGTCCCCTTTTCCCTCTGCCCAGCCTCCAGCTGCCCCATCTGGCCAGGGAAGACTTTGAGCACAGATTAACTGCACGAAAATATTTTTCCCACGGTGTTATCTCAGCCTCCAGTGATTTGTGGCTGTGGGATTTCCTGAGGCGCAGAGAATTTATTTATTTATTTAATAACCCTCAATGGCTTTTCTTCCGTGACTTTGTCCAGATGCTCTGTGCATCCCGTGGAAGCCTTTTCGATGACTGGGATGAGGCTCAGCCTCCTTTGAGGGGCCTTTTCTGTGTCGTTTGGTCCAGGGTCATTGCCCACAACTGCTTGCTCTGGCGCTGCTGTGCCCCCCCACCCCCCGCTTTTTTTTTTTTGAGACCAGGACACCGGCATAGGACATGGACTTTGTTTTTGGTGAAAACACCCTTATACCCTGGCTTCTGTTTTCTGCATGACAATGGTGAATTTGGAGAGACGATTTGGAGTCAGTGAAGCTAAGCTTGTTTTCCCCCCTGCTGTGAATCACTGCACGTTTTACACAGCTCAGTGATCCCATGTTGTGAGCTCTGCAGTTCTTCACACCTGGCCTGTTATTTTCCACCCTTAATACATTAACAGCATCAGCAAATGCTGGCCATGTTGGACAACAGCTGGAAACCCAAGCAGACAGTATCAGCCAGATCCCCTTGTTCACAAACTTCTAAGTCCTCCAGGGATGTGCAGCAGGTTCCAGGAATGCACACCCTGTGCACAAAGCTGTGTTGACTCTTCCTTCCCTAGTTCTGCTTGTTTGTGTGGCCCCTAATCTACTATTTATTCTTATTATAGATAATGATGACCCACTACCAACCCAGAAACCAACAAATGGTGTCTCAGGAGGCTACTTATTGGGTGCAGGTCGAGCAGATTGTACAGGGCCAGTAGCAGAAATTCCTCTGGTATGTATGGGGAATTGAGCATGGATTCAGTGAAATACTGTTATTTTTTCATCATCTCTGAGTATTATTATTTTTTTTTCAGAACATTTGTCTAGAGGCCTTGCCTTAACAAATGGTTGTCTTAAATCATTAAATGAGTGATAGCAGGGCAAGAAAGTTGCAACTCTGAGTTTTCATCTTGAAAGATTTTTTTTTTTTTTGATCTTCTGGAAATCGACTTAGGCAAATACATGCAAATGAATCCATCTCTCGGTATTTTGTCTGTGTGGGCCTGACAGAGCTCTTTCCTTCCAGATGGGTTACGCCAATCCTGACCAGGTGGGCGGTGGGCTCCTCACACGCCTCTACAGCCGAGCCTTCATCGTGGCAGAGCCCAACAGCTCCAAGCGAGTAGTGTTTGTTAGCATCGACATAGGGATGGTGTCTCAGCGACTGAGGCTGGAGGTACGTGGCTGGAAGTGAATTATCTGCACGGCGTGAGCTGCCGCTGGTATTAGTGCTAAGGTTGTAGACGTTGCCAGACAGTACAGAATGCAGCAGCACCTTGGCCATTTGCTTTGGGATTTCCTTGCAGAAGGACTTTGAGAAGTGTGGTGTCTCTGATGAAGAAGATTTCTCAGCAAATGATGCTGGACTTTGACCATGCTTTTTGTAGTGAAAAAGTTACCAAAAATACACATGGTGCTTGGTGCCTATGTATTGCACCACAGAGGAAGAAGGGAGATCCTTGAGAATTAGGCACTCCCTGGATGACATGGGGTGGGCTGCAAGTTGGCTACAGAGGTCTTCCTTTACAGGATTTTATTATTTTAAGGTAGTTGACAAATCATCAGCTGTAGCCTACTTATTTGGTCACTGGCTATAGAGTATCTGATGGAAAGAAAAGAGCTGAGAGGCAGGTGAGAGATGATTTTTTTTTTTTTTTTCAAGGGTTGATACAAATCTCCACAGGTATAAGAAAGGGTTTTTAGGACCACTTCTTTCCTCTTAGGTGCTCAAGAAACTGAAGAGCAAGTATGGTGAGCTGTACCGACAGGACAATGTCATCCTCAGCGGCACCCACACGCACTCGGGTCCTGGTGGCTACTTCCAGTACACACTTTTCTGGTTCACTAGCAAAGGACTGATCAAACCATCCCTTGATGCTATTGTGAAGGGCATTGTAAAGGTAGGCATCAGCTGGACTGTTGACACATGGGCCTATAAACACAGAAGAGGTAAGGGGAGGTACAGAGCTCTTGCTGCAATGTTTATGGTAGCACCTGAAAATGCTGCAACCTTAAAATACACTCAGAGGTGTTTTTATGCTTGTTGGTGAGATCAGGTCAGACAATAAAAGCCTGCAAGTTTTTATTTAGAAAGAGATGGTTTTGCCTGATTTTGAAATATTACTTTTCATGATCATAACTTTCTAGAATTTTGGTCTATTAAAAAAACAAACAAAACTGAACCAAACAAAACAAAACAAAAATAAACAAACAACAACAACAACAACACAAAACAAACAAACAAACAAAAAACATGAAAAGCCTCCAGATTCCCAGGAAAGTGTTGGGGCCAGGCAGGGAGGGAGTTTTCCCAAACAAACTCATATGGCTTACATTCATGCACTAATATTCCCTGACTTTTTGTTTTTCAGAGCATTGATATAGCACATCAGAACCTGAAAAGAGGAAGGCTTTTTATAAACAGAGGCACTGTAGAAAACAGTCAGATCAACCGAAGCCCGTACTCATATCTCCAGAATCCAGCATATGAGAAAAGCAGGTAGAGGCTCCGAAAATGGGAGAGAAACAGATCCCTGAAGAGAACCCTTTGTTTGGAACCATGACCCAGAGGTCTTGCATACAGTGTTTCTGGTCATTTGTAGGACAGTTCAAATGTGGAACCAAGTCCATGGCAGAATGACAGTCACCATCATGGGTCCTTGGGTACCTGCTTCCCCCAAAATGAATTGTACAAGTGGACTTGGAAGCTGTTGATGCCCCCCTCCAAGCATGTGAGGCATTAGTTAAGGATGTGACCTCGTGTTTTGTTAACAGCAGTGAAAGAACGTCCTTCGTGGATGCTAGCATTTGAGTCAGATGGCATTAAAGTACATAAGGTTGTGTTTAGAGGGATCTCTTCTTTCCACCACCCAGGGAAGCAGGGCCTGAGGTCATCAATGACTGTGCCTCTTCCCTTAGGTTCACAGCTGCATTAGGATGGTCCTCTAAGGTCACCATGTCCTAGCAAAAAAATCTCCGATATCCTCCCCATTTTCTTGCTAAGCCCAGTGGAGTTTTAACAACACAGAATGTGACTGTTGCTCTGGTGATAACAGGATTTCCCTGCTCTGTTGTCCCAGGTATTCATCCAACACGGATAAAGAAATGGTGATTCTGAAGATGGTAGATGAGAATGGACATGACCTGGGCCTCATCAGGTACTGATTGCTGATGTTTTCCTCCAAATCCTCATAAAGAAAAGCACCCCAGTGCTGTGGTTCTAGGCTTATTTCTGTAGTTCCTTCCTGCACAAGCATGCTGACTTTCAGGTCTATGGCACTTTCTCATAGACCATTCTTCTCAGGTAGTCACCAGAGGGCCTCTGAGGCAAGAGTAAGTTATGCCGAGAGTCAGTGAATGCATAAACTAGGTCAGCGTCTCTCATCTGCTCTGGGACCTTCAGCAGCCTTAGCCCACCTCCAGCTCTCTGTGTTGGGCATGTCTCCTGCCACGACCCCTGTGCTGCAGCTTGCAGAGGAGGCTGGGGAAGATGACCATGCAGAGGTGCAGGTGAAAACCCTATGTGGTTGGAAATCAGTCTTTTAAGGCTTGTCTTGCACAACAGGGAAAGAAGGTTGCACAGGTATACCAGGCTTTGTCTGGAAGCACCACTACAGGAGCTGCACCCCAGGCTGCATGGGGCTATGTCCCAGAGCACTGGGGCCGCCCCCGAGGACAGAGACCCCCAGCTCGCACAAGAAGGGCTGTTTCCTTAGGGCCGTGTCCCATGCTGCGTCTTGTACTAGTGCCTCCTGTGCTTTAACTGTGCCTCTGGGAGCAGGGCCTGGCCCCAGAATCTCTGGGACCACTTTGGGATTCTGTTCTTTTGGTTATTTCCTTTAACACCCCATTATTTCATGCAAAATGTGCCCTTCCCAGTGCTGGGTGTCAGGTGCTGTGTTTATGACACCCATCCTATCAGCACATCTTTGTGGCAGTGCTCAGCTGCTCGAAGGTCAGAGCTCAGGGCTGGGGAAATGAAGTAAGAGGTAGTCCTGAAACCAACAACATGACTTCTCCATTTAGAAATCACAAGTAAGAATCTGACTGCAGTAAGAGGAACGGGAGGGTTTTCCTCTCAATTTTTTTCTCTCCTTGTGTCACAGATGATGGTGCAAGGAAAAGCCAGGGATTTTCCTCTAAATCTTTCCAAAAATATAACTCTTGGGAGTCAGAAGAGAGTCAGTCCAGGGCTGAACTAGCTGGTGGCCCTGTTAATTACAGTGCCAAACTATTGTCACCTCAGGACCTGGGTCACCAAAGTCATGAGCCTTCCAGGTCATGATGGGAGAGGATGTGGGCACTGCCCTTCTTAATCCAGCCCTGGGCACTGATGATCTGGGTTTTTGCTTCCCCAGAGGAAATTTCTATAAGCCAATTGCAAATATTTATTTCAAATAATGCATTTCCTACACATATCTTCTCTCTAGCTGGTTTGCCGTGCACCCAGTCAGCATGAACAACACAAACCGTCTTGTGAACAGTGACAACGTGGGCTACGCGTCTCTCTTGTTTGAGCAGGAGAAGAACAAGGGCATGCTTACTGGAGAGGTAAGAGTGTTTTCAGAATATTGAGAATAACGGGGAAGAAAGTTCAACACAGAGGGTATGGTCAATGCTTTTTATGGGCCATAGCAGGTTCTGTCAAACACTGAGATAGGACAGCAGGGTAAATACATCAAAAGGAGGCCAAAGATGCACTTTCTGATTTATTTATTCTTTCTTCCTCTGGTGAAGAGAAATTACAAAGTGTAATTGTGACTTTTCAAGATAATAACTCCCATTTTACTCCATTTACTCCCATTTTAAGAACAAATCAAATTTGTTATGATTCAACTATTGGACACACTGGAAATCACTAGAAAGGCAAGTGGGGGATATTAGATCGTGTACATTGCATCTGCAGTATGGAATCAAGCCTGTGGTCATCCTCACTTGTTTTCCGTGGCTTCCAGCCAGTTCTGTCTCATAGTCTTCATTTGTCCAAGAAATTTGCCATCTCCCAGGTCCAAACAGATCTCCTTTATCCCCCTGAATTATTTCCCCTGAGATGTGAATATGGACAGGAGCCAATCTCACAGTCACTTTGAGTCATGTGTTAGTTATGACGGTGTCCTGTGTGCATCTCCAGCAGGTACCTTGAAACATTGCTCAATTCATATTTTAATATTCTGGGCAGGGGAACATGTGTGGTTCATACGAAGGATAAAAACTGAAGAAAGTTTAGACATGTTCTGCTTGCAAACCTTTCTTTTTATAGCGGGTTATCTAAAAGCTTTTAAGAAGACTTGTCTCTCGTGCATAGTTATGGGTGCAAGTCAATGCAAGATGACATGAACACAGACTAAGTATGTGTGGAAGTGTTTGCAGGATCCAATATTCAGTTGTGCATTTTGCCGGACACATTTTGTCTAGCAGTCTTACAAGAGAATGTTTGAAGAGCTGATTAGATATTAAAATAGCTGGTGTGGACATATGCTGCTTCTAGACGGGGTAGAAATGAGAGGATCCATTGTGAGAGCTTTGCTCAGCTGATACTCAGTGCGCAACCAGCCTTGCTTCTCAAGTACTGCTTGGCGTGAACTTCTGTGGTCAGATCCACTGGCTCTCACTCCATAAATCTGTCATGTTGATAGCGTGGAAGAAGAAAAATCCAGCTCAAGGTGTCACAATGAGCCATTAGCATGTGATCAGGAATGCAAGAACAGGGGAGGTGGGGGAAGAGCTGCTGCTGAGATGGAAGGTGGCAGTTACATACCCTGTGACCTTTTCTCTCTTACTCTTCCTGTCCCTAGCTCGTGGTACACTCCTGAATCCCTATGCCAGTACTCCCAGTCACCTCAGAAACATTTACCAGCTTGCGTGCCAATCAGCTGGCTTTAATACCTCTCTTGAGGTTGTGCTGCATGTTTGCAGCCCAAAGAGAAAGCCACAGGGGATGTCTGCAATCGCTGCAAGTCACTGAAATCTGTCTGACCATGTCTCTATTTTGCAGGGATCTTTTGTTGCTGCCTTTGCATCTTCCAACCTGGGAGACGTGTCACCCAACACCAAAGGCCCGTTCTGCGTAAACACAGGGGAATCGTGTGACAACCCACAGAGCACCTGTCCCGTGGGGGGGGTACGTATGGATTACTCGATCTACACTAAATTATGATGGAGGAGAAAAACTCAGGCTAGAGCTGCAAATACAGAGCCTTGTGATGGATCATTCTGCATGAAAAAGACCTCTTCTGGACTATTCTGGATGCCCTTTTCAGAAACCCACCGTGTCTTGTCTTCACACCGTTTTCTGATCATTCAGCCCAAATCCATATTTGTCTCACTGCAAAGCTTAGTGTTACAATCTGGTGCCCAAATTTTAGATGGCTAGCAAGAAGCTGTTAGCTTCCACATGATGAAAACCACTCATGCACTCATCCACTTTGCAGTGCCACGTGTTATCCATATGAACAGATCACTAGTATTGAAACAGATCACTATTATTGAACCAAATTTCTTAACAGGCAGCGATGTGCATGGCCATGGGTCCTGGTACTGATATGTTCGACAGTACAAGAATTATAGGGCAAAATATCTACTCAAAAGCAAAGGTAAGTGATGTTTCATTTTACAAAGCATGTGAATGCTGTTATTACAAAAACAACCACATATTCATTTGAGCAAATTTCTTGCACCTGTTTTTTATGAATGTTTGTAGGTTTAAATTACTTTAAAATTCATGTTTATACACTTAAGGAAAATTTCCTGATTATTCAGAAAGCATACACTTTTATTTAGATATGTGATTATAGGACTCAGAATTTGAAAATGTTGATTTTGAAGTTTTGATCTCTCTCTTCCTGACTGCTATGTAATCTGGATGTTGCTGCCTTATAATTGCCCATCCCCAAGAATGCACCTCATGATGGGTCATGATGGGAAAAAACACTGGTTGCGAAGCCTCCCAGGACAGCTCAGCAACACCATCACATACCACTTGTTAGCTGACTTGGCATTGCACTCACAAACTAATGCAAATGTGAATTAAAAACTGCTAGCTTAAAAACCCTGGAAAGATACTCATCTTGCCATGCTTGACTTTGCATTTACTCATTGTGGTCCACCTTCTTGGCTCCATTATGTAGCCTATGCTCTTGGGCCCCAAATTCGCTTAAATTAACTGTTTTCCATTCTATGGATTCGAGTAATTTGCGAGTTGTCAATGGGCGGATCTTTTTTAGCACCATTTCAGGGACAACAGCTTGTAGGAACTGGAACAGGTCCAGTGAGAGCAGAAGGCTTGATGGTGGCTATTTCCTATTTAATTGCCATTTCGGATGCTTGCCCTGAAGTCACTCCAGGCTGATCATGACTTGTAAGCGAAAGCTTGTCCCAGTCAAGGTGCCTGGCATAGGTATCAAGCGGAGAGGGAAAACATTGCTGTCATTTTTAACACTGCAGACTCAGGGTTGTCAAGGGCTGTGTCCTCTGCTCTTTCCTGCAGTTACAGGAGATGTTACTAAACCTGTATAACTTCTGGCAATGGTGTGTACCAGCTTGAGGCATGTGTGTCAGGAAAATCATCTGCTGAAGAGCTGAATGATGGAGATGTCACCCATACAGTAAATGCATAGTCAAGTCCATGAGTTTTGAAGCAATTAATGCATTTGACTGCATCTTTGTCATAGAAAACATTTGTTTTGGTTGGTCTCAGACACGAAAACTGCAGATACTCTAACAGCTCCTGTAATCAACAGTTGCTTTGCCTTCTCTTTGAGCTATGAGTAATATGGGTGAGGAGGAAGGGAGGGAGGGAGGAAGGAAGGAAGGAAGGAAGGAGGGAGACAGGGAGCCATTCAGGTGGAATAGGTGCTTGCTTTAACTGTGAAAATCAAGGTGCACACAGAACTGCTGACCAGTGTCCCCCCCATGTTGCTTGGGACAGGAAAGCTTGCAGGACTCAGGGGACATGGGATTTAGAGACAGGATGACAGAAACAACAGAGCTTGGGAAATATGCTCCTGCAAGAGGCCACTGCAAGACATCAACTGAGTGTAGAAGTAATTCATATTGCTGAAGCTCAGAAGACTAGGGTGCCTGATTTCTTCTTCCTCAAGGATTTCCACACACTCTGGAGACTTTCTGCTTTGACAGGAGGCCTTCCCTTGGTTTTCTGCCTTGGCTGCTGATTGCTGTCTGTGTGTCCCTTAGGAGCTGTATGCCAATGCTTCCCAAGAGATCACAGGACCTCTCAGCTCAGCTCACCAGTGGGTGAACATGAGTGACGTCCAGGTGGAGCTCAATGCCACGCACACAGTAAGAGTGGGAGCTACCGGGGTACAAGGAAGGAAAAACAGCTATGTTCTCATAGCAGGATCTGGCAAACTGGAGGAAACTGGTTTTAAAATCTCTCTCATTTTTTTCCCCTTTTTGGTTAAGGTCAAAACATGTAAACCAGCCTTGGGATACAGCTTTGCTGCAGGGACTATTGATGGAGTGGGGGCTTTCAACTTCACACAAGGTAATTTGGAGAGTGGATGTCAACATGGCTTTGTGCAAATGAGGAGGACACAGGGCACACAACAGGTGAATTCAAACCCTCAGACCTTTTCAGAGAATATCAACATGTGGTTAAATCTCCAAAGGGATGCTTTTAGGAAGGTGTGATCAAGTTTGTGTCCATTGCAAAGCTTCTGGAGGAAGGATATGTGGGGAGGAGAGTGGGGAGGAGAAAGAGTGGACTTCAGGGCAGTCTTTCCCATTCGTTCTCATTACCCTAATGCTGATGAAACGGGGCTCAGCTGGGCTAAAGCCTGGCAGAAACCACACCAGAAAAGGGAGATAGTTGGAATCCACTAAGAAATAGCCTATCTGACATAAGGAGGGAGTGGGCAATATATGATATTTCTGCCTGATAGCTGCTGGGGAAGTTGAAAGAACAGTGTTTAAAAGATGTTTTCCTTCAAGGCTCGGTAGAAGGGGACCCATTTTGGGATCAAATCCGTGACCAGCTCCTGGGACAGCCATCCAATGAAACGAAAGCTTGCCATGAACCCAAGCCGGTTCTCTTTAGCACTGGAGAGGTAAGGGCAGAGCTGGGTGTGCACTCTGGTAAGTGTTGGAGTGCCCTGCTGAAACGCAGTCCCTATCAGCACTGTGCCAGCCTGCATGGTGAAGGACAAGGACCAAGAGAGAGCTGTGGGGATGCTGAGGGCATGGTGGAGTGGCACTGGGCTCAGGTGGGCACACCATGGGCTGGAGGCCTCTGCTCTGACCCTGCTTGTGGCAGGACCAATGTTCCTAGCTGGCCCAGGGCTGTCCCCGGGGATGGAGGCCGCTTGCCACCAGTCCCGTGCCCCCAGGGACAACCCACTCCCCAGGAAGGGCTATTTCCTCAGGGCCCACAGAGATGGAGTCCCACCACTGCCAGCCCCTTCCCAGGGGGGTGTGCTGTTCCAGGGACAAACTCAGCGCTGTCCTTACTGAACTCTCCCAAATCCTAGTTAAATCTTTCAAAGAAAATCAATGCCACGTTTCCTACCTGCTGTTCTTTTGGCATTAAGGCAAATGCACCATAGTGGAGTGGGATCATATCCAAGGCCCTTTAGAGCACTTTAGAGGATGCCATCTGGATGAGGTGATTCATCATTGCTTTCATGTGTTCCTTTGATGTGCATCATGAGATTTTGTCATTCATGTTATGCCCCTGGTAAATCACTCCTCGAAAAACTTTTTGGCTTGCTGTAGCAAGATTTTGCATTTTGTTTGCCAGAGCTGTGCCACCCTCAGGTTCTTCTTGTTCTTAATTGCCTTTAGCAGACTCCTTCATATTTTGTGTAGTCTTTTTTTTTTTTTTTTTTTTTTCTTTTAAGCTGAAATGCTCCTGTAGTGTGCAGTTTGTATCTGGCTGCTGCAAGGGTGTTGAGTCTGGGTGTGGCGTGGTCCCTGCTATGGGGTGGTTTGAAGCCAGGGTTGGGCTGCAGGTGGCTCCTTTACAGGGCTCCCTGAGCATCATGTAGAAGGAGGTAACCATCGTTTCCCATTGCCACCAGGCTCCCTCATTCACTCAGTTTTGCCATTCTGCTCAGATGATTGGCCTTACCAGTCATAACACTGTGTCCTTCCCTCACACAGGTGGGAAGTCTCTACTGGTGAGGACTCTGTTTCTGGGTGCTACTCTGATTTTATTTACCTACTTTACTTTAAGCTGCCCCTCCGCCAACACTTTTTCACAGAATCACAGAATTTCTAGGTTGGAAGAGACCTCAAGATCATCGAGTCCAACCTCTGACCTAACGCTAACAGTCCCCACTAAACCATATCCCTAAGCTCTACATCTAAACATCTTTTAAAGACTTCCAGGGATGGTGACTCCACCACCTCCCTGGGCAGCCTGTTCCAATGTCTAACAAAGACATTTTTATTTATTTATTTTTATAGACATATTTTTAAAAGACGTTTTTATTTATTTATTTTTACCTTACCCATGTAATTTGCATGTGTCTCTCCTTCTCTATCTGTTGCGGTCAGGCTGCTTGCTGTACATGTGGTGTAGGAGGTGCACTTTTTCATGTCCCTGTCTATATTATGGAAAAAAAAATATTTTCCCTATTTATCACTAAAGGAAGGAAAACTCTTCAGCTATCTCTTTTGTTATTGTCCTATAAAAGTCATATACTTTTTTTTTTTTTTCATCTCAGATGACATGGCCTCATCCATGGCACCCTGATATTGTGGATGTTCAGATCGCTACCATCGGATCATTGGCAATTGTTGCGGTTCCTGGAGAGTTTACGTATGTATTTTTTGGTCTTGTTCTACATATTGCATCTGAGAGCATTTCATTCAAACTACCTGCAGTACTCCTGTGTGTGGGTACATAATCTAATGCATAAAAAGGGGGGACAGGATAAAAATTGTCCTTGACACAAGACAGCAGTGTAAACACTACATACATATGTCCACTGCACTTAGATTCTTGCATGTGTTCTTCTCTGGTTGCTTTGGAACTCCCATATTCTTCTGTACGTTATAAACTAGCCATAGAAATGAATGAGATGCGATCAAGCTTCCAAGATAATTTTAGCTGTTCATAGCAAAATACAGTTTCACTGAAATGAAAGGAGTGCGTTAACTTTGTTTTTTCACACCATGAATGCTGGAACAACAAATTGCACTGATCGCTGATGGTACAATGGTGATAATCTGAATAGAATAGTGATTTATTTATATAATTTTTCTTCTATCTCACCCCACCCTGGGGTGCTTCCAACCTCAACTTGGCTGTGATGATATACATGAAATGTTTTGAGGTGTTTTGATTGGGTTTCTTGAGAGGAGCCCTGAGGGTGCTTTAGCAAACCCCAGAGAACCACTGCATGTGCTGAATGAATTTCTGGTGGCCTCCCCTCTGTTCTGGTGTGCTGCGTGTCAAGCAAGTGATCCCTGCATTTCTGGGTATTGATGCCATTCCCTTAATGTCCCTAGGACCATGTCTGGACGCAGACTACGGGAAGCTGTTAAATCTGTAAGTTGCTGAGGAGGACGTTTCTTGAGAAGGCTGTGGATCTGGAACTTCACATTTCTTGACCCTTCTGTTTTTTCCCTTGTCCCCTTCCCAGCTGGGGTCCTGGGGCTCATTTCTTATGGAGCGTTTCTTCTCACACTTGCTTAACACTCATTTTTCATGCACTTACTGACGTGCAACAGAAATTAATATCCTCCCCAAAAGAAGCAAATTGATTGGGTTTCAATCCATTAAGTCAAAAGAAGTTAGTTAATTCTGTATTAGAGTGGTATATCTCCTTAATCTCTACCAGAATTCTGCAGCATGAAAACTGTTGGAAAAAATGGCAAATGTATTTTTTCTGTTTTCTTGATGGATATGTCTTATTCTTAGCTTTGGTCTGAATACTTAATCTTGCCTGCTGCCCCCGAAGCTCACTGAGCCTTCTTCGCATAGTTTCATTGCCAAGGTTTTTTTCCAAGAACACAGACATCAGACTTAAAAAAAAAAAATCCTTAAATTTATTGCATTCACTGGAGCATGAGGTCATTTATCCTTTTTCATGTGGGAAGCAAAAACGAGATGTTAATATATGCAAATAACACTGGTGGAGTTGCTTTCATGAACATCCAGCCCCCTACCCACTGTAACTTCCTATTCTGCCCTGGTAAATAACAATAATATAATAATATAATTGTGCATAAAGAGGTTGATACAAGGTGAGTGATTTATCTCCTTTTTTTAGGAATTTGATTCTCATGGTACAGCAGGAATGGATGTCGTAATTGCAGGGCTGTGCAATGTCTACACCCATTACATTACCACCTATGAGGAATACCAGGTAGTTGAGTTCAGTTTTTACTATATGGGATGATAATTCATGTGAAATTGTGCAATTTTTCTCTTGCCATGAAAACCTGAAGAATCTGTGATACAAATCCTAAAATGGCCTTCTTTATTCTGGACTAGTTGAAATGTTGCAAGTGCCAAAACAGTTTCCTAACCATAGCTGGAAAATACTTATGTGGCTTTAACGTGGAAATAGTCAGAGGTACTGAAGGAAGCTCCTCTGAGCTTAGGTCTGGATTAGTTTTTCTCCTCATGACCTGGATGAAATTATCTTCACAGGCTGGTGAACTGCAATAAGAAAGTTTCGGAGCTGCAGGGTCATGATAAGAGCATGAACTGCAACATCAGATTGCTGTGGAAAAGACTTACAAGAGAGCTTACAAGACCCCTGAAGCAGTTTTAAGGGTCCCTCCAAGGCAGGGTAGATGCCATGCTGAAGATGTGGGTAGTTGGAATGATTTAGAAACACTTACCTGGGAGGAAAGGTGGGAAGAAGTGGGGTTGTCCAAGCTAAAAAGTGGGAGAGAAAAAGCCTTCAGAAGAGCAAAAGAGCTCTAAGAAATGGAAGAGTGACAACGGGGCCTCCCTGCCTGTGATGGATGTGAGAAGAATAACCTGAAGTTGCAGCAGAAATACCTAAGTGAGCTGAGTTTTGTTGTCCTGTAGCAGTAAGGGGATTGAGGTTCTTCTGGAAAACAACCCCTTAAATAAGGATAATAAATTAATTATTAATCATTAAATAAACCCTTGCAGGTACACTACAGTGCTAATCTTGTCCTAGTGCAGATGGATGAGCTGCATGATCTGCTCTAGAGCCCTTCAAACCCTCCTTTTCCAACTTTGTCCTTTCCTAGGTTCAGCGATATGAGGCAGCATCGACTATTTATGGGCCACATACCCTTTCTGCCTACCTTCAGCTGTACAGAGGACTTGCAAGGGCTATTGCTACGGTAATCAAAATTTTCTGTATGTCATATGTTGCTAGAGGCATTTAAATCCCGTAAATGGTATTGGCTATATTTGTTTCACAGTGAGGTGGCTCGATTGCTACACTCTTTTCTCATAAGAAACCCACTTGAGAAATTCTCTTATGCTATAAAAATATTTCCTATAATGGGAGTCTCATACAACTTTAGAATTTCTAGTTTTTTTTTGATTCAAAGTTTAAAAAAATACCTACCTCCTCCAACCTTTCTGTATGCTCTGAAGTTGCTGTTTTCCTACCAAGGTATAAAAAACATCTGTATTTTTGCTGTATGTGACAATGTCACCATTCCCTCTGAGGACCATGCAGATAGAGCAGAACCTGCAGGATGGGAGCTGCCTTTTGAGGGCATGGGATGGATATTCTGCCTGATGGGGTTTGGGAACATCAGCAACAGGGCAACAGGTGTCTTGTGGGTATTGGTCCTGCATGTGGAGCACAGACGAGGGGGCTCTTGCTTGCTTTTACATTCACTGTGTTGCTTCTGCTGTTAAAATCTGCTTGGACCAACTTAATTAGATGAAGAGCCACAGCATGGGTGTGATTCAGGGTGGAGGTCATGTTTATCTGTATTTGAGTATAATGAGCACCTCTTCCCTCCCACAGAACACGGTTCAGGATTTGCCGAGTGGCCCAGAGCCCCCATTTTTCAATATAACTAACTTCACCTTGGTGCCTGCTGTCACTTCCGACAGGACACCGGTGAATAAGAAATTTGGGGACGTGCTTCAAGAAGTGAGACAACACTATCGAGTGGTGAGAGCTTCATCTGCTAAAAACTTTTTAGAAAATCATCCTTAAATACTTACTTATCTTGCTAAAAATTCTGAATTTTCTAGAGTGTTGTAGTGGACGTCAGAGAGCCCTCTTGAATTTTAAAAACCATTTCAAAATGCTTCCCAGCTTCCTTACCTTTTAGCAATGAAGCAAACTTAAGCCTTGAACATGAAGCTTGTGAGTGACCAAGTTTTATTTCTATGAGACAAACACATTAGTGATTTTATGAAGCAGCAGTACTCTTCAGATCAAAGCAGCAGAAAGGAGGCAGTTTTCATGCCAATGTCATTGTACTGAATGGTTAAAATGTGTGAATGAGGGGAAAATAAGTCACCATAGTATTCAACATGAAGAATATTTCCCCTTCTGTTTCTACATAAAATATAATTTGATGATGAAATGGGCAAATGTTGTACAGTGATGTCTTTACAAGCAGAAATCAGGTAACCTCTGATATCTCTGGTGAGAATGTAAATGAAATAAAAAAAAATATGTTAGAAAGGATTTAGTTTTCAGTCTGTAAAATTTAGATAAGTTGTTCAGAGCAAGGATTTTCATCTCATTGCTGTCTCCAGCATTAAGGTAGGAAGAAGGCAGGAAAGTATTCTTAAAGGTTTACTCATTTCCCTCCCTCTTTTGCACAGAAGTTTTATGTACTGTGGTGTTCATCCCACAAGCAGGAACAAGGATTCACAATATAAATTGTCCATTGCTGCTGCAACAATTGAAATTATTTAAAGACAAAGAGCAAATAAAATACTTCTAAGGTGTCTTCAAAGGATGTTTTTAATGTGCAATGTGCTGCTTAGCCTTTAATATAAATTTCATTTTCCTCCTCAGGGAGAAGTTGCTAAAGTAACTTTTGTAAGTGCCAACCCTAGGAATTCTGCAGAGAACATGGTAAATATAACAGAATCACAGAATTATCTAGGTTGGAAGAGACGTCAAGATCATCGAAGTCCAACCTCTGACCTAACCCTAACAAGTCCTCCACTAAACCATATCCCAAAGCTCTACATTCAAACGTATTTTAAAGAACTCCAGGGATGGTGACTCCACCACCTCCCTGGGCATCCCATTCCAATGCCTAACAACCCTCTCAGTAAAGAAGTTCTTCCTAATATCCAACCTAAAACACCCCTGGCGCAACTTAAGCCCATTCCCCCTCGTCCTGTCACCAGGAACGTGGGAGAACAGACCAACCCCCACCTCACTACAGCCTCCTTTAAGGTACCTGTAGAGAGCGATAAGGTCGCCCCTGAGCCTCCTTTTCTCCAGGCTGAACAAGCCCAGCTCCTTCAGCCGCTCCTCGTAGGACTTGTTCTCCAGGCCCCTCACCAGCTTCGTCACCCTTCTCTGGACTCACTTGAGCACCTTGATGTCCTTCTTGTAGCGAGGGGCCCAAAACTGAACACAGTACTCGAGGTGCGGCCTCACCAGAGCTGAGTACAGGGGGACGATCACCTCCCTAGCCCTGCTGGTCACAGTGTTTCTGATACAAGCCAGGATGCCGTTGGCCTTCTTGGCCACCTGAGCACACTGCTGGCTCATATTCAGCCGACTGTCCACCATCACTCCCAGGTCCTTCTCTGCCAGGCAGCTCTCCAACCACTCATCTCCCAGCCTGTAGCTCTGCTTGGGGTTATTGCGCCCCAGGTGCAGGACCCAGCACTTGGCCTTGTTGAACTTCATGCAGTTGACCTCAGCCCATCGGTGCAGCCTATCCAGATCCTCCTGCAGAGCCTTCCTACCCTCCAGCAGATTGACACACACACCTAACTTGGTGTCATCTGCGAACGTACTGAGGGTGAACTCGATCCCCTCATCCAGATCATAGATAAAGATGTTAAAGAGGACTGGCCCCAGTACTGAGCCCTGGGGAATGCCACTAGTGACTGGCCTCCAACTGGATTTGACTCCATTCACCATGATTCTTTGGGCCTGGCTATCCAGCCAGTTTCTAACCCAATGAAGTGTATGCCAGTCCAAGCCACGAGCAGCCAGTTTCTTGAGGAGAATGATGCTGGAAAGGGTGATGTTAAGGATTAGTTAATATTTAGCTACTGCCTCTGCCTTATGCATTTTACTCTTCGATGTTCAGGTTTCAAAAGGAGTAATTTCATGTAATTTGGAGCTTTTTTTTTTTATAGCTGGAAGTTCACAAGAACATAGTTTCTCCCACAGGCATGTGCTTTTGGAACTCACACCACCAGAATACTTTTGCAGCAAAGTCCTTGTCTGGTTGTGAGAGACCATGTTGGCTTGTATTTGGTATACAAAACGTAAAATCCACACTCGGTCCGACCATCAGTCACTACAGACCATCCATGGTGTCTTCACACTATTGAGGTTAAAGGCACTCTAGTCCACATACTTTTCTCAGTATCTAATGCCCTTTCAGTCTAAACAATGATGTTCTCTAGTTTCCATCTTACCAGCTCTGTGCATTGTTTTAATAAAACAAAGAAAAGTAGAAAAGTACATAGTTCATCCCATCACTCATCAATCCCATCATTCATCAGTCATCTTAGATAGAAGCTGATAGTTAATTACTTTCCTGTTCATTCTTGTTTTAATGATCAATTTCTCTGCTTCATTTGTAAGTTTAAGTTTTGCCAGTGAAATATAAGCACTTTTGCTAGTAATTACTGGATTTGCCAGTAAAACACACAGAAGCATAGCCCTGTCTACAGTTGAAATGACACAAAAGAGTAGGGACATGCCTGTTCATTCAGCATCTTGCTCATTCTCTTGTTTTTACACAGACCTGAACACAACTTCCTGACAGTGGAGACATATGTCAATGGTTCAGGAGAATGGCAGGTGGTACGGAACGATGCCTCCTGGGACACCAGGTGAGTGACCCTAACAGATTTCACTGTTTCACAATCTCAAAAAAGTACTTTGAGTTTAATTCAACCTGCTCAATTTCAGAGCTCCCAGCCCTAGGTTGGTCTTGTCCCTTCAGATGATGCTCTCTGGCGATGGACAGGTCTACATTCATCTGGTTAACATCCAGAGCACAACACTTAGCCTTCCCCTTGGTATAACTTCTACAGTGAAGGCTTGTAAGTTCAGAAAAGGTAGACTGAAGAGCAAGAATTAGAGAAGGATCACTCAATTTGTTCATAGCCTACATCCTTCCATCTCCTGTATGCTGCTGATGGCTAAGATACCAATGAGAGGTTCAGCCAGCAGTAGGGTTTTTATGGGAATAGACTGGCTGGCTTTGCTAAACATCATAAAGTAGAAACAGTCAACAATTTAAAAAGTTTATAAGAAAATAAAATCAAGGTTAGAGATATCAGTCATAAGGAAGAATATCCATTAAGCAGCAAAGATGATGGCACCTTTCAGAGCTACACCAGAAGCCCATATATGAAATAGGAATACCAAAGGAATCCTTTGCCAATTTTTTCATTCTGAAGTTGCTTCCCTGCTTGAATAAACACAGTTGCTTGCTTATCTGTTCATGCAACCAATCTATAAGAACACACACCAGTAAGAAAGTGGAAATAATTCGTCTTGGGATCTTCCAACCTTGCAATGTAACAAGTAACGTCAGAAATCAGAGGCAACATTCCCAAACAGGAAAGTCTTACTCTTAATTTATGGAGAGCATTTGGTAGGGCACAAGTGCAACCAATTGCTCTCTAAATCTAATCTGGTAGCCAGGCCTCCAGCCTAAATCCACTGCCTCCCCTTGGCATGCTCTCATAAGGTAACAGGAGCAAGCATGGTCCTGGCTCTCTGAACCAAGAGGTGATGTACTGCTCCTGTGCTCTGTATGGATTCCTGGCCTACCTCAGTGTGGGAGATTTAATCTACCAGCATCTGGAGCTTGGCATTTCTAAGCATTTAGCCTCTACTTAACACTAACACTTGTTATATTGTCCTTCTCATTTGTTTCCTCTTTCCATTCACCCTACTTACATAAAGGCAGCACAGGCATTTTATCACTGGTATGCACATGGCATAAATGATATGTAGCTCTGCCTAGAAAGACATCTGAAAAGATGTCTCCTCCTGCCCCCAAACCAACAAGGTTACTAAAATCTCAGCTGTAAACACTGAAAAAGGTTAACAAAATGTCTCTCAAAAGGACAAAAAAAACATAAAAAGGACAAAACTTTAAGAATGTGCTGCCATGATGCTGAAAGAGAAATCTAGGCTTATTGTTTTAATTCCTGAGAAAGGTCAGACTTTGGATCTTGCTTGCTCTGAATTATGCTTGAATATTTCTGCTGATAAGGATGAGGAGTTGTTTGGCCTAAAGGAGCTGAACAGAAGGCAAAGCAATGCAGATGGTAATGTCTCTTTTCCTGGTGCCCCAGAAAAAGTATAAAAGAACACGAGAAAGGGGAAATGGTTTTGTTAACAATAAAAACAAGGCAGTCTTTACAGTACCAGTACATTCAACTTGAAATGTCAGTAATCACGGTGATAGGAACAGGAAACATCAAGCAGTTTTACTAGATGTTAATGAAGTCAGACTCTTTTTTCAGTACTGGGGAAATTAATGTACGATACTGTTGAACTCAATGGCATTGCAACAGGAAAGTAACACAAGGGAATGCATTATTATTCATTAGCTCAGTGTTGCAAAGTGTTAAATAGTTTATAAATACATCTGTAAACCTTATGTAAATCTTATTTTCAGGTAACCAACAGATATGAAGGTTTATTTATAGGAGGAGCGGCTTTTGGTGAAGGAGACAGCTGTTATCTTCCCTTTGTTTTGCACTCCCCATTGCATCAGGGACAAACTCAATGCAGACTTGACTTTTGCTGGGTGCTATCTTGGTGTTTACAATAGAGAAGTGTTTGACCAGATCTCACATCTGCATCAGGGGCAGTGATCACTTTCATAGGGCAGTTCAGGAGGATGGGCTGAGCTAGAGACAGCAATCTGCCTGGCTCTGCCTTTAACAAACAGTCAGCAGAGATACGATGTGGTGGAGCTCATCTGCCTGAAGCTCTTTGCAGGTGGGATCTGATATGAGTTGTGGTCCTGGTTCAAAGGGCCTGGAGGGTGGGATGCGGGGAGGAAGGGTGATGGTACAGGTCAATCACAGTAGCATTTGTAGGTCCCATCATTACAGACAGGGTCAGACTGGAGGAGGTGTGGAGGGTAGAGAGCAGAGACCTCGGGGTGGAGGTCTCTGCTCTGAGCCAGCTGACAGCAGGGCCAACGCTGCTGCTACAGCAGGTTGCTCAGGGCCATGGCCAGGAAAGCCGGGGCAGACCCTGAGGATGAAGATCCACCACTGCTCAGGGCCTTGCTGTCATCTCCTAACACAACATTGCACTCTGCAGTGATAAAGCCAGTGCAATCCACAGCCAAAACCTCAGACAAAAGCAACCAGGTTGATACACAAACCATGTGTCAGCCTGTAGTCTCCACTCACAACTGATGAAGCCAAATTTTCCCCATTAATCACTGTTTTCCACAAAGTAATGTCTGTAAATACTTATTTCAATATTCTCACTAAGACTGCTGTAGTGAAACTCTGTTTCTCAACATTGACAAAGAATTAATGTATTCTGATCATCTGCTTCCTTTGGTTAAAGCCTTGAAATGGGGGTGCTATTGCAGTAGGACTTGAAAACTCTCATTAAGATTTCTTGGTCCGTTTCTTTTTATTTAGAAAGACTAAGAGCTAGTAAGAATGCTTTATAATGTTATTGTTTCCCATTTCCCACCATGGGCTGTGAACTTACTGAATCATTTCTGCTGTGAGCCAGAAATGTGTAAAGTTACAGAGTACTGTTAGCACCCACTGAATGTCTGGCCCAGGTACAACTTGGAGATACCCGATGCTGACAGTATCAGAAAAAGAGAGGGTTAAACTTCTTCATCTCCCCAAGAGGTGCTGCATCATGGCTGGCTGAATAATCCCCACCACCAGACATGGGGATCTTTTGTGTGGCTGTCTGTAGTATTAAGTTTTTGCACAAGTCTGCAAAGGAAAGGAGTTTGATACGGAAACAGATGTCAGAAGCCTTGAGCTCCACTTTGATGGATTTTACCTGTCACCTTCAGTAAATCCTCAGCCTCTCGGCTCAAAGCTTCCCCAGTGCAGCAAAGACTGAACTTGTTTATATTGCTCATGAGGGGGTGTTGTATGGGGTTATGATATGGATTTGGAGATGTAGGAAAACTTTGGTAGAAATATTTTGTTTTGTCTGCAGAAATGACCTTTGACTTGTGGCCATATTTCCATATACTTTTCAGCCCTACTGGGTTTTGGATTGACTTGCTAGTTGCTGCTCTGGTGTAACCTCAACATATAAGCAAAGGTTAAAAGAAACTCTTAAAATATACTTTGCTGTAGGGCATTCATTTCCTTCTGCTTCATTTAGCCAGTGTGAGCTCTTCTGATATTAAAACAAATGCAAAATGTATTTTCTTGCTGACTGCAACTTTTGGTTTGTCTGATAGGTTTTACTGGACCAAGGGATCATTTGGTCGGAGCAATGCGACGATTGAATGGCACATCCCTAATGACACAGAGCCTGGCATCTACAGGATACGGTACTTTGGGCACTCCAAGAAAACTGGCACTACACTCATGCCCATTAATCCATTTGAAGGCGTATCCTCAACGTTTGAAATCACAAGTCTGTAGGTGATCTTGTTCATTAAAGGAATTGTTTCCTTTGAACAGTAGATTTGATATCTGTGATGTTGCAATGCACACTGGGGAGTTTTCTTGTGGAATATGTGACTCTATACATCATTGCTGTCCCTTGTGTGCTGCTCGTTATCCTTTGCTGTGCAAAGCTTAGCTTCTGCAAAATTTTGACTTTTACCTGCAATTCAACCTTACTAGTTCGATATATTTTCATTCAAGCTTTTCCAGTCCTGGATGGATCTCATTACAGTTGATTCTTATTATAATAAAAAGTTAACTGTTTTTCTTTAGTCATTGATCAGATGCTTATTGATTGTGAATAGGCTTTCAGAGGGAATTATTGCATGACAGGAGCTAATCCAGACCATAAAATAGTCCATAAAATTGAGCCCAGTCCATAAAGCTGGGAAGAGCTGCTGAATTCACAAGACATCAAAAGAAAAGCCTCCTCAATTGTGCTCAAAGTAATTGACAAAGCTGGCTTACTAGGACGGTAAGTGAAAAAATGGATAGATACTTATCAGAAGGGTTTGAATATTATTTCATTTAATCATTCTGTTTCAGGACATTTTGGTGATTCACTCTCTGAGTTAAAAAACAACAGATGGGGCAACAGAATGGTTTTCCATAAATCAGTTGTCTTGGCTTCACAGGCTGTGTAGGGCCCTACCACAGAGTTCTAGTGTAAGGTTAGCCATGTTACAGAGGTCAGCCATTTGCAAAATAAAATATTGAAGCAGTCTGCAGATATTTCCTGCTAAACTGTGTTCTTTACTTTCACTAATGTCACTTTTGAACTGACTGGTGTGCCATGTGGACTCAGTGCTGTCCACCACACATGGGTTTATGTAAAGGCAAGGTTTTTTGGAAGATAAGTCCTCTGAATGTTCTCGAATAACTGCCAATGGCCCAAGCGACCACAGATGGGTTGGAGGTTAAACCACTGGAAGAGTTATACATGTTTGCTGTGGTTGTGGTCCAGAATCAGGATGCTGAGTGAGACTGACCTCAGAGCTGACTGGCCTCTCCTGAATCCTTGTGTTATGCTCCTTCCAACCACAATGAAGGGCAGCCGATGGCATTTTACCCCATCATATATCAGCTTGAAACACCTCAAAAAGATAAAGACTAAGGATGCTTACATGTACCAAAGGTGATTTCAATGGGAGGGTGCTATGGGAGAACACTGGGGCCATATGCCGGATGAAATTTTTGTGGAGGAGCTCTTGGTGAAGGGGATCCTGCAGGTGGTAGTGGGATGTGACTGATGTCCAGCCAGAGTGGGGCTGGATTTCATTGCAATAAGTTTATATTGCAGATGATTCAAATGGAAAACAGCAAGAACCAAACTTAAGAATTAAAGCTGTGGGTAAGGCAGCTCTGACTAGATCTCAGCCCATTTCATTTTATCACTTGGAAGGACTCAAGGTGGGCAAGCCCTGACTGGATGAAGATCTGCCCAGGGCTTGTAGCTGAAGCCTGGAGAGGGCTGTGATCACCTACAGGTGGGCCACCAGAAGGTCTCGTAGTGCCCTCCAACATATTGGAAAGAGGAACAGAGGGTTCATCAAACCAAAGAAAGAAAGTACCACTGAAAGAAGAGAAGAACGGTCCCAAAAGCTATCAACTGTAACTTTTAAGACAGGAAGGTCTCCAGGAAGGCGGAGGACCTTCTCACCTACAGGTTTCAGATCTGGTTGTATGAATCCATGACCACCTTGGCCCAGTGCTGGTGGCAGATCCCCCCTGAGGTCCCTCCCATCAGCGCTGCCATGGGGTGAAGTAAGCAGGAATCACACCCCTGTCCCTGAGTCCCTTCCAAATTCTGGAAATAATACATTTGGGGCCGTGAGAAGAAAAAAGTATCATTTACAGATCCGGATTTAGCATTCTTGTAGTGTCTTATGGGTAAACAGTTGTAAATATTTAATAAGCTCCAACAATGTGTATTAATTATGTGATCTCTTTAATTCTTCAGAGAATCAGCAGTCAGATAATTTTGCCTCTCTTTAAAATCAGTAGGAGAGAATGAATTATTCATTTTAAACCATCTGCAATCAGTCTCAGAGATTCCCATCCAGAGGAGCTCAAAGCAATTGCAATATTGAGACAGGAAAGAGAGAGCTTTGGAAGAACAACACTGGGAATTAAATCCCCAAAGATGCTGTTAATGTCCTTTTCAAATAACGTGCCCAGCTGGTCCATCAGCCCTGCTCCTGTCTGCAAAATCCCTCTGCTGGCAGTGTTAGCGTCCCTGAGATGGGGGCAGTGGCACAGGACCCTGCTCCAGGGCTGTGCCATGCCACAGGGCACTCAGTGCTGTGACACTCAAGTTGCAAAATGATCAGAATATTTCTTGCAAACCTTTTCCCCACTTCACTCTGCTCACATTTTCTTCTTTGACCACACACAGTAAAACACATTCCAACACCTTAAAACAGGACTGGATCATGTAATCTTTTTTTTTTTTTTTTTTTTTTATTTTTATTTTTTTCCTTAGTCCAGGCAGTACTAAGATATTTTATTTGATTGTTTCAGATAAATTTGTTTGCATTATTGTATTACACTAACTGTTAATTTTTTTAGTAGTACTTCTACAAAGCATGTTTATCCAAGCAAAATTAAATAGTGTGGTTAAAATTCTCACGGGTGAGGTTTACCCTCTAAAATTTCAGTAGTTCACCTCAAAGAAAGTTTTTTGAAAGCTGGTGTTTCTCATGGGAAAAGTGTCAAGAGCCAGAAGTAGGGTATCTGGAGAGTCCCACTTGTGTCCCAGAGCAGGTCCATAAACTTCCTTGTGGTAAATTTATTTATTTATATGCCACCAGGGGACACTTTTTTTTTAAAAAAAAATTTTTTGGGGAGTTTTTTGGAACCTTTTTTTTTTTTTTTTCCCCATAAACGTCAGCAGTGCTGAATACTGCAGTGTGAGAAATGCTGTCCTTTGCACTGTCCTTTGCATTGTTTGCTCTTTAACAGTTTCGTGGCTGTCATCTGCTGTTCACATACAGCAAAACTGGCCCTTCCCGACGATCTTCACACCGCTCAGAAGGGTGCTGTGATTAAATTCAGCAGCCGCTAGGTGCCAGTGCAGTTTTACATGAGAACTAGTTTTCCACTGAACACGGCCAAAGCATATAAAATTTTTCAAGAATTTAGGCAACTTGCCAGTTGTTAAATTTAGCATTACTCATCACAGTTGCTCTTCCCTCGATAGAGCTGTTCTCCTTCGATGTCTAGCCATTTGTGCCTTGCGTACGTGCTCAAAAGGCAAGCAAAGTCTCCACCTTTTTTATCATGGGATATAAATTAACATGAACTTCAGAAACCTATCCAGGAGATGCATGCATCTGCAGGCTGATCCTGGCTCTGCTGAGCTGCTTTGCAGGGCTGCATTGCAAAACTTGACTATACTGCAACTGTCCTCCTGCACAGCATCTTGTCCCTCGAAAAATACTGACACTATTTGGTGCTGCAGAAGAGATACTAAATTAAGATCTGAACCAAGGCACTGAGAAGAAAGGGGAGAATCTCTCTGCTATTTCTGGGATTTCATGCAGGCTTTTGGACTGTCTGATCCTATGGTTGCCTGGTGTTTGCACGTTCCATGTAAGATTTCTGTCTGCAAGGAGCTGGGACAAGGCTCTGAGTGCGTAGAGGTGTTTAAGGAAGCAGAGTATCTCCAGGGGGACAGCAATATGCCCCAAACACCCCCAGAGGAGAGGGTCCATAGATGGGGATTGTCTAAGCCCCCACAGGCAGTTCACAAGGGGCAGCTGAGAGCTGCCAAGGATTGACGGCAGTAACAACTTCTACACCTTGAGGGAAAGGAGTATCCCACGAGGCACCTTTGCTTTGTGCCATGTGCAGCACCAGAGCCAAGCTGACCCCCTGACAGTTAGTCCCTGGCCTGACATCACTTCAGAGTGTTTTTGCCAAAAAGGGTAAATCCAGGTAGGTATGTGGAGCTCAGATGGGATGGTCTATGAGAGCTTTAGCAGGACTGGTGGGAAAAGGAAGTCATGCAGACTCAAATACCCTTGAAAGTCCCTGGAGACTCTAACCCACAGGCTTCTGGAAGGGACATGAGAGAGACCTTCCAGATTGGATGTTTCAGGGTCTAACGAGCTCCAATGGCGCAGTCTTCTGATGCCCAGAGACATTCAGGTCTCACATTGCACCTCAGATCACAGAATCACCTAGGCTGGAAGAGACCTAGTCCAACCTCTGACCTCCACTAAACCATATCACTAAGCTCTACATCTAAACATCTTTTCAAGACCTCCAGAGATGGTGACTCAACCGCTTCCCTGGGCAGCCCATTCTAATGCATAACAACCCTTTTGGTAAAAAAGTTCTTCCTAACATCCAACCTAAACCTCCTCTGGTGCAACTTTATCCCATTCCCCCCCTAAAAAAAAGAAGCACTCACACAATCCCTGAGAATTGGCAAGAGCTGTTTATTGCCGGGACATCCTGCAGGCAAGCCTGCGGGATGTCTGTGGTGTGTGGAGGCTCCAAGCTAATGCTTGCGATGGAGCCTGAGCAACAAGTAGGGGGCTCGCTGGGCACTCCTGCCCTGCTGTTGGTGCTCTCGGATGGCAGAGCACAAAGACATGCCGCAGTAGTCCCAGGCCTGTCCCGGCAGAGGTGGATCCACTTCCATCCGTTCCTCCATGCCTGGTGGATCCAGCTCCGTGGGCTCCACGGTGTTGGGCAGAAGGCTAAGCCAGTCCTTGCCTGAGACTGCCCAAATGGGATGCCTTCGGTCCAGAATGTTCTCAGGCCAAGGTGCCGAACCAGGGGGTCGTCCAGTTCCATGCCTCGGCCCCATGCCACTGTCAGCTTGATTGTCACGTGTGGGTCCAACGCTGCCCTCTGTTTTATGGCCATTTCTGGGTCCCACACTGTGCTCCGGGCTATGGGCACGCCTCTGCTCCCTGCACCTGTCTGCCTGATGCTCCCGCCTTCGCTCCACGTCACCGTTGCTCCTAGGGTAAGGCCCAGGCCCCCTGTCGCTGGCTGTGTGAGGGGCCGGCCTGTTCCCTGCATTGTTGCGGTGCCAATGGTACTGCCTGTGTGTGTCCGTGGGCTGGGCGCCAGAGGTTCCTCGGGCACTGGTGTCTCTTTTGCCCCTGGCGCTCTCCTTCCACCCACAACACATCTCCTTCTGCTCAGGTGCATTCCTTCTTGGTGCTTCACCGCTCTGCATGGCTGTCCTCGCACACAAGGCCTGCTGCTCGCCTGGCTCTTCTGGTCTCCTTCCTGCCGCCCCAGCTGGCAGTCAGAGGGCCCAGATGCTCAGCGAGTGCTGGGCCAGCTGCAGGGGGCCTGTTTTATAATTTGACATAAAGCTTTAGTGAAGTCAGCTGAAACTTCTGCCAGAGCTTGATTGGAACTGGATGATCAGCTTCGTCTCACCACCTGTGTGGTGGAGACTGCTGAGGAAGCCAGAGAGCATTAAGAACCTGTGCCGTAGAGACTTCCAGGCCAAGGCTGCGTAGAAGAAGGGAAAAGGAACAGGCAAGTTTTATGTCTTCTGTCCTGAAAGTGGACTAATGTATGGCTATCTGCTGATTTCTTACCGTTCTTTTCATCACTTATGGCTCAATCATGTCTTTGACTTATTTTTGGAGGACAGATACAGGTTTGTTTTTTTTTTTTTTGCTTTTTATTTATTTATTTATTTATTTATTTATTTATGTTTTTCTATCCATTCAGAATCTACATCTTTACAAATTTTTAACTTGGGTTGTGGGTTTTTGATTTCTTGAAAATCATTCTTGCTCTCCAAAATGGATCAGCCAACTATAGAGGAAAGAGGGACTCTCAGTTCTCCAAGAAGCAGGAGCAGAAATATTAAAAACATAAAAGTGAATTCTGTCATTGCCCTGATTTCAAAGAAAATGAAAGCATGGCATCAAGGAAAATCTAATGAGGTGAAATAATAGAGCTGGAAGATCTGTAGTTCTTGCTAAGGCCTAGTTCATGGCCCACCTCTTTGTAAGTCTGTAAAAAAAAGTCAGACTATTTTGAGGAAACCTTCTTTTGGCTTGGTAGGGACGTCTTTTTTGCATGCCATGTGGTGTCAGTAGCAAGGTATCAGATTTTCACCCATCTCTTGGGATCAGGATCCTTATGGAGAAAGATCCCAAAGGTGCAAAAACAGAGCTGAGGGCTTACACCCTTAGTATTGGGTGTGGATGCAGGATCCTTGATTTTTGATGTAAACATGCAGAAGAATAACCCTAATTTCTGTTGCATGCAAATGCCAAGTGTCATCAAAGTGCATGTTGAAAACACTCTCGGCATTGCCAAGCAGTATGTGACCTTGTCTGTATGACCTCAGATCGATTCTTACAGAACAAAGTGTCCTCTTATTTACCATGAATGGAATGACCCTTTTAGATAAAACTTAGGGTAGAAAAGACTGAGGCATTCAGGTTGGTTTAAAAAGTTTTAATGATATTTCAAAGTCCAGTTAATGCCCTTTGATTATTCTAGAATTACAGACTCACTTCACAGAATTTAAATCAGGTTATAACTTCATTGCAATGGATGATTTAGATGCCATTTTTACTTTATTCTCTAAACATAAATGATTGTCCTCCAGTAAATGGATGGTGTGATTTTTGCTACACTTTATAGTGTTAAAACTCTATACAAATATTGTACTAAGTGTACAAAAATAAGTGCTTCATGCACATACTTTTTAATACTGTTTCTTGCCCTTTTCTTTGACATCTTTCTGAACTTCATATAAATAGCTGAAAAAGAAGACTACAGTTACTGAACATGGAAAGTGAGAAATGTCTTCTGCCAATGGTAGTAATGTTTTCTTAGAGAGACGTATTATTCATTGGCAGTTTTCTCAAACAAAAAACACCTAGACAGAAAAGAAAATAAAGCCACAATACCAATAACACTCTTGGTTATTTTGACCTCTGTGAAAAGGGTTGTCATTTTCTGCAAATCAGAGTGTGCTGAACAGCAATCACAGAGGACCATAATACCTTTTGGATCACTCTAATGAACTACTTTATAAATAGAAATAGTCTAATAGTTCCACAAACTATACAGCTTATATGTGTTTGTTCCATTCCTAAGCAAAATCAAGTCAGCCGAAGTATGAGAATCCAAAACACTTGGCTCCTGCTTGTCAACACCTTGTCACAGACCATCGTAGTTGGTACAGCTATTGGGATACAGGAAAAAGTTCCACTTGAAACAGCAGAACGGCTCGCATGGTGCCACATTACATCATCTAGACCAGATGACAAATTTGGGGCCATATATGTTGGAATTGATGGGCATCACCAACCTAGCCTGGATGAGTTCTGCACCCTGGTGGGGAGGTTGCTGCCCTGATTTCAAGGAAGAAGCTTGTTACAGGTTGTAAATTCTCCTGGTTAACCTCCAAAATGGGCTTTTGTGACCTAGGCTGAGCTGATTCAAGTCATCTTAGCCTGTGTAGTCTATAGGACTAAAACATACACTATAGTTATATAAGACCACCTTTCTCCTGTATCTCTAGAGCATCGTTACTCCTTCCTCAGTCTGATGGCTAAAATAAAGGGATACTTCCCTCCTGCTGTAAACCAAGGGGCACTCTCAGCATCCTCAGAGCACATGCACACACTGGCCACCAGCAGCTGGTGCTCTCCAAAATGAGAGTTACGTGTACTATGTACTACTGATGTACATTAATTACCCCAGAGAACTCTACTCTAAATTAACTTTTGCAAGAGTCATAGCAGCCAGCACCCTCACTTGCTGTGTAAAGCAGCGTTATTAGCCAGGCAGGGCTCTTTCCATCCTGCTGAAAAGTTTACTTCTATATCATTTTGTTCCTGTAGAGGTGTCCGTTGTTACTAGGTAATAACTGAACTCTTGTGGTCTAATGAAGAAAAGAATTGGCCTGAATATATAGGGCTTTTCTGATCAGCCTTAACAGTCCAAAAGGTTTTGGACTATTGCACTGAGTATGCCATTAGATGGGAGGTGTTAAAAAAGACATTGTTTGTGGTTTTGTGACTTGTAGGTATGGCTTAGAAGTAGCAAAGTGAGAGGCAAGACTTTGCTGAATACTAACGTCCTGCTTTAAAATACAATCAGCACTAAAAAGCATGTAGACTAGCTTAGTAGGCTGGGCAGACACATTTTTGATCAATGGCTTTTTTCATTGGCTGTTTTCTGCTTGTCTGGAGAAATTCTGGGGTCTGCCTGGCTAAAAACTTGGGGTGAATGGAAGAGAGCTCCTGCTGTTTTCAGCATGGGTTGTTGCTTGTAAACACAACACAATGGTGTGTGTATGTATGTATATATGTATACATATCTATACGTAAATATATATAAATACATATACACACACCTCAGAACCACTCATTTTTGAGGCTGAGATTTTGCTTTCTAGTGTGAAAATCTGATTTTGAGCCATTTATTTTTTTCATTTCTCTTTTCTCCCTAATGTCCTGATATGAAACTAAAGAACTAAAAGAATGAAACGCCAGCTAACATCTAACTTTAGTCAACAGATTATTTTAAAATCATGAGGGTGTAAGAATTACCAGACAGAGAATTTTTCTACCTGTGCTTGATTTAAGGAAACTATTTTATAAAGACAGAATTAGAACGCTCCATAACCATCACTGCGTGCAGCTACTGCAAAGGCAGGGTAGGCTTCATATGTGGCATATGTCGTCAAATCTTGTCCCATTGTCACTGCTTGTTTGAGGTGAGTGGCTGTGACTGTTGCAGCAGCATTAGCAATGGTGTATCCTGCAGGGGAAAAGAGATAAGAGATGGAGATTAAAGGAAAGACATTCAAAAGCTACCATTGCCTGACATTTTTTGATGGGAAGACTTCATTGTCAATGGCAATCATGTCGTTTGTCAATGGGAAGACTGGAACAATCTGATTAGATTAAATAAATCATTCCTGGCATGTTTTTCCTCCTCGTTAAAGGTAACAAACTTGACAACTGCAGCTGGAAAATTAATGCATTTTCTCACCTATTATTTGTTAAACACATTGCCTAAAAAAATACGCTCTTTGTTGAATATTTTTCCTTAAGCTTCAAATATCTCTGAGATGAGAGGCTGGTAACAGTGCTCTTTACATGGACTCCCACACATGACAAAGGAGGGCAAGAAAATGAAGTACTGCATAGAAAATCTGGGCATGTTTTGCTTCATAGAGAACACATTTGTACAGCTGGGAGAAAACATGTCTGTGACATCCTTTATGGTCAAAATGCATGCAACTCAGGACAGACATGTTAGAGAGGAGGGGAATTCTCTCTATGCAATATTGGGAAAAATATTTAGCAAACTGGATTTTTTTTTCCCCATCAGATTCTAATGGGATATGTGGTTTCAACACTTCAAAATTTTCCATGGGAAAATGTTAGCTATGCTGATTTAAAATGAATCACTGGGAAAACAAACATCATTTGGGGCTGGTTTGTCTGAAAGGAGAGTGTAGCAGCTTGTCAAACAGACCACAGTATGTTGTTGTTATGAAAGGATCAAGAATTAAGATGAAGCCCAAATGTGGGAAGAGTAGACAAGATGCCCATCGGCTCTACTGAACCTGTCACTGCTTCCAAACTACATCTCCCAGGATTCAAACTCTCCAACCAACCAGCTGGCAGTGGGATTGGCTCAAGGTCAGTCAGATCCAAGTCCCATTGGGGCAGGGCCTGGAGATACTTCAGGTTGGAAGTTAGGAGAAATGAATTCTCAGAAAAAGTGGTCAGGCATTGGAATGGATTGCCTAGGGAGGTGGTGGAGTCACTGTCCCTAGGGGTGTTCAAGGAAAGGTTGGATGTGCCTGGGGACATGGTTTAGTGGGTGACACTGGTGGTAGGGGGATGGTTGGAACGGATGATCTTGGAGGTCTTTTTCTACTTTAATGATTCTGTGATTCTATTATTCTATGATATTGGGCATCACCAAGACTACGTTCCCTCATGGAAGGTGTTAGCTTGGGAGAAAACATGAGAAATTCATGGGAACATGAATATTGTGGTCGCTCAAAGTGTCTTTCTTGCATCAGCAAAATGAGGTGCAACATTTCAACTAGGAATTGAGAAATTTGTCATTTTAACCATGTTCAGCATCATCATAAGAGAAATAAGCTGCTACCTGGGCATGGCCTGGGCTGTGCTGGACTTCAGTGAGTGTGGACTGAGCACCGGTGTGTGCTGCTGGCAGTAATTTTAATGTATGTCTATTTGTTGCATTTCCAAGATAAATAAATAAGGGTGGATGAAAGAAAAAGGAGAGATTATAATTAAGCAGTAAGTGGGGACTGGATTCAATAAAGAGCCCATTTGGTTTCCACACTGCGGAAGCCTGCACAAACCCAGACAAATTGATTTTTCTGTGGCTTTTGCGGACTCCTGTGGCAGGAAGCCGGATAGATTTTTATTTTTTATTTTTAAATCCATCCTTGAGACACTCCAAACAATTCAGTAGTACTGACTAATGCATTCCTCATGTGCAGTTTGGCATAAGTTGTTCCCACTACATCAGAATCACCGTCATGCTGGGGAGCACAGTAAATGTAATGCCTGCAAGCTGGATTACAGCTCCTGGCTTATGTTTTCCATGATTTCCCAAGCTCTTTTGGTAGTTACAAGAGCTGTTGGGAATGAACTCAAGAACTGGAAACATTAGTCTTCCAGCAGGGGTGGGAGAGAGCTGGGATCGGATCCTGGCTGTCACATTCACATCGTTCCTTTGGCAGATGAAATCCAAGGGGTTGGCTCAAGAGGAGGGATCCTTGCAGTAAGGAGGACCGAACCCATCCTGTGTGGCACTGGCAAGGGGACAGCAGGAAGGGGACCCATTCCAGCTCTGGCTCTGGGGAGACCACATCTGGGTCTGGGTCCTACTGGGGGCTCCCAGTTAAAGGGAGGCATCTGTGAACTGGAGCACAGTCAGGTCTATCCTCAGTGACCACGAACAGGCTAGTTCTGGACTAACCTGTGAGGAAGCATGTTGGAAAAATAATACTGCAGGAGGCCTTTGCTGTACAGACCTTCACATACCTGGAAAAGCTGGCGCAGCAGGAGGCACCTCTGTTCCCTCCGTGGGAACCCCCAGTGTCTGCAGGGTGTATTCTGCTGCATAGGTTTTGGCTTCATCAATAAAGGCGCTGAGCTTGGGAGGTGTGAAGGGATGTCTGTGAACACAGCAACATAATAGCTTTTTGTTTTGTTTTGTTTTGTTTTGTTTTCCTCTCTAGGCCTTTCCTGCAAAACCTTCTGATCTAGCCATAGTTGGCATAATCCCACACATCAAATAGAAACATCATTTTACTGTGCTGATGCATCAACACTAATACTTTTAGCAGTCTGGTATCTTTGCTGAGATTATCGGCCCTGGGTCACATTTCGGCCACTACATGTTTTCAGAGCATGTTGTCCGTTTTCAGTCCAAAAGAAAGCCTGCTTCAGTCTTTCTCATTAAAATACACCACAAAAATATTTCAGATCAGAAGTGTTTAGGATCATACCTGGAGCCTAATTAGCAGCATGTTCCTACAAGCTGCTTTTCTTTTTCCTACATGAAATATTGTATGTTTTATTTTCTTACTAAAAAGCACCCCTTTGCCTACTTATTTCTGGCTTTCTGCAGTTTTTACACCACTGAACACAGAGTGCCAAGCACAGCAGACATCACTGTTGGTCTTTTTTTTTTTTTTTAATTTATTTATGGATGATTTTCTCTCTAATGTCTCAAAAACCTGTAAATAGAGACCTGTGTTGTATTCTGAAGAGAGATGCTAGACAAAATCCACTTTAAAAAAATCCTAAAACCCAGAGAAACTTGAATAGTTACATACATGGTGGGGTTCTGGCTGGCGAGGGCGGGGATGGTGATTTTGTATAGGAAGAGCTGTCTTTGGTCTTGGCCAATTGCAGAGTGGAGCTGGTAAACAGGCTGTCCCCAGTTGTTTTTCTGGCAGATTTCTTCTAAGATCTAGGAGGGAAGAAGGGATTTGCTCGGGTTAATTGTTGCATGTAGCCTTCTTCCCCAGCTCCAGCCCCTGCATTGCTCTGCTTCCTCCCCTCCAAAGAATTTTTAGAAGTGTAGTGGCAGCTTCCTCAAGCCTTCGTGAGAAAATAAATGGCAGACAGGATAGTAAAGCTCACCTTGAGATATAAGATTCATCTAAATGTTATATACCTTAAAAATGCATTTAATTCCTGAAGCTAATTACCACCTCATTAAATGGGATGTCTTTGTTTTGCTGATTAGCTGTTTCATTTCATTATTGGCATGGCCTTCTCTGAATTCTCCACAGAAACTCTATCTGTGCACGTCTTTTTAACCCCCTTAAAGCATTATGGTTCCATTCATCTTCGCAGCTCTGGTGCCTCCCTCCCTTGGTGGGATATAGTACATAAAAAGCCCAGTCTTAAAAAAAAAAAAAAAAAGGAAGGAAAAGAGGCTGTTTCTCTTTCCAATTAATTATTCAGGCTTCAATAGGCAATTTCTGCTCCTAGTTTGAAAGAGAAATGCTGGACCACATTGCCCTTGGCCTTAGCACAGCTTATTCCACAGTAATTGGGAATCACTGTCTGGAAATGCTCTTGCTTTTTCTTTTTCTTTCTTTTCTAAACCCAGGGGCTATCTGCTGTCCCAGATGGGTTTGATATAGTGTGGTGCTCCTGTGCATCCCCACCAGTAGTGCTTGGACCATTTGTTTTTTCTAAATAACTCCATCAGGTTTGATGCTCAACTTAGAAATTGTTGGGGCTTGGGGTTTTTCCTACTGAGCAGCAGTTGCGGTCTCCCCAGGTATTTTTCAGTGCCATAACAATTTGCATTTCAGTGACACAGTAAGGCAATTTGGCATCCTGAAGTTGAACACAAGACAAAAATGTTCTGTTTGGAATGACCCCAAGCGACTTGCTGTAGCTGTGACGTTGGTCTTGCCAGGTTGGAGCCGAGACCCCTGGGTACCCACAGCCTGAGGCTTTCTGCAGTCCACCTTAAAATTATTTTATTTCACTGCTGCCTTTCATTTGATAACTACAGATCTAAAGTTTACTACTCTGTAGTACGCACACCCTAGTTCATCAGATTTCTTGACCATGGTGACAGCTGTCCCCTGCTGTCCCAAAGACTGCGTAAGGATGGTGCTTTTGAGATGTAACATCACCATTTAAATATTCGATGAGCAACATCTATTCATGAAAACCAAGTACCCCAGCTAGGCAGCAGGAAGGAAGTTAGGAGGGTCCATCCTTCACAGGTGCTGTTGCAGTGTGCAGTGGGCAGGAGAGGCTGACTGATTTGGCACAGGTATTAATGAGACCTTCCTAAAGCAAGCCATGGCTGTGTAAGAAGCATTATTATGAGACAGTGGCAGTGAGGGAATTAGGCAACTCAGCTGGGGGGAAGATGTGCTCCAAAAATTATTGCTGCATGGCCTGCCACACATTGATCCTGCCATGGGGGTTCATCACAAAGATGTCGGGAGAGCAAAAACCCTGAACTGCACCTGCCCTAAGTCAGCCTGGACCATTTCACCCCTCTTGGATAACATGGAGACAGAGAAACTTTGCAGGGGGAGAAAAAACTCCAGGTTTCTGGGGAGAAAAGGATGCTTTGGGAGACATTTAGCAAATGGAATACTGCAACAATTTTTTTTACTAGACAGAGGTGTGTTTCTGAAATCTGAGTGAAATTAACTTCTAACATTACTTTGGATGATTCAAGGGGAAAGGAGTTGCTGTAGGAGAGTGACCTCTGAAACTCAAGGAATTTGTTCTGCCCTGTCCCCAGCTAGCTGTCTGGATCCCAGTCCTGCATGCACAAGCACGTCAAAGCTTCCTTGTGCAACCAGAGCTGTTGCATTTGGCTGGGCTGTGCAGTCCATCAACTCCTCTTTTCCCATTCCATTTAGGATGTACATCGGTGGTTCAGGATTTCGGTTCTCAGCATCACACAAACCCTGATCTCCTGCAAGGACTGTGGCATATGTCGGCATCAGGGGAGACAGCACAAGCTGCCACAAATGGGTCCACCCAGATAATGTGCTCCGCATTGTTTTCCTTTTTTTACTGCATTGGAGCAATCACATCGAGGCAGCAAAGCTCTGTGCAATGCCATGGCCCTTTTGCAATACAGATGATTCTTTTTTCCTTTTTTTTTTTTTTTTTTTTTTTTCTCTTTCCTGGCGAAGTTGCTGTTTTTCTAGTTATGTGAAATAGTTCCTAGGGTGAAAATTTCTTAATTTCTTTACTCCTCAGTGCTTTTGTGGCGGGGTAGTCATAGCTGGATTTCATCTTCCACTCATGGAAGTTTATGAAAATTCTCCCTTGAAGGAGAATGAGTGCTGTTCTCCAGCAAGGTGGACGGCACTGCAGGATGCAACTAACAAGTGTTTTCTTGTTTAAATGTATTCCGAGAGTTATGAATAGATGTAGCTATCAATCACCAGTTTAAATTCACGCAAGGGCTGTTTTTCTGAAAGCATTTTGAGCAAAGGCAAACCCTGGCCAACACATTGACCATTCTTCGCACACACCTACCTGAGGAGCAAGTTTGATCCCTTGGGGCTTTAGTGTGACGTGATTCATCGGTGTGAGTTCCATTCCTGGCAAGAGGTCGTAGAGTTTATCCTCTCCCCTCTTTTCTCCTTTGAGCTGGTATCCACGCCCCAGGCCTGTGTACGCCAGGTAGCCGCGACCTCCCAGTCCTCTAACTCCCGCAGCCCCTACAGGTACATTCATGTAAATTTCTAGGAATGTAAGAAGGCATTAAACTGAATCAAATCACCGGAAAAATTACCCTGATTGTCCCTGAAATGGAAAAGTTAGCCCCACTGACTGAGTTTGGGAAGGAGGTAGGCAGGAGCCCCCCATAGCCTGTTGCTGGGCTTGCACACTTGGAGGTGCGAAGTTATAGGGGTACCCCTGCTTCTGTCTGACCCCATTTCCATCTCCTCTGCTCTGTGCTGACAGTTGAGGTGTAACTTTCCATTGAGCTCATAGACAAGCCAGTTTGAATTTTATAACACCTTTCTAACCAGATTTGTAGACAGAAGTTGGAGAAGGGACAGCTGATGTCACTTGCCACTCACCAGCATAATAAGAGTTTCATGAGGAACTGTTTCTATGTTTATACAGCCCCTCACTTATATGAACCAAAGTCAAATTTTCAGCCCCTATTACATTTTCATTTTTGTTCAAGGAGCCCAATGAGCACATGCATTTATTTTTCTGGTAGTCCCCAAACTTACTTCTGCAGATACCAAATGCTGTCTGCAATGATATTTAATTGGGGGGGGGGGGGAGGGAGGGGTACCTGAATACAGGGATTTGATTCAGTACCAGTTGCAGACACCTGGGGTCATAGGCAGAACCTCAGCAACCATCAGAAATACTCTCTATTTTCATAGGTTTCTTATTATTACATTATTATTAAAAAAAAAAAAAAAAAAAAAAAGAGTCTGTCTCCCAAAGCACAAAATTAATGGCTTTCTTGGTTTCAGTTCTGGTTCCCCACTCAGCTTTAGCACAATGTGACCTCCCTGGGAAATGCTGTGCCTTTGGGTCAGAAGACATCAGGACTGGCAAAACTTTCCTTGTGGGTTTCAAAGGAAAGGGGGAAAACAGCACAGAGTTGTGCTGGTGGTTGTATGAGAGTTGTCTCTGGAGGGAGGTAGGGAAGGAAGGAAATGGTTTTATTTTGTTTTCCCTGTTGGGGCAAAACCAGGAGGATTCATGGTTTATTTACCCTGGAAGGAGGGTGATCTGGAAGCTGTCTAAAGCTTGCTCCAGGAAAATGGTTATTTTTTAGTACCCTGCTTAGCCTGCTGGAATATCACTGTGTCTTTGGGAAGGGCAAAGCCTAAAAACTGTTTGCTGTCCCTTTCTGAAAGGGACATCCTCAGCATGAGAATGCAGCCACCCAAGCACGGGAGGAATCATTTTGTTAGAGCAGAGTATTGGCATGACTGCAGTTACCTCGGATGGATGGGGGCCGGATGATGCTCCTGTTGCTGAGCCCCTTGGCGGCTGGGAAGTGGAGGTTGGGGATAGCAGCGTAGGCATGTGGTGCGTAGAAAACCGGGGCACCCAGGTAGGTGGTGGCAGGGTCGTACATGTGTCCAAAGGCGTAGGTGTACTCTCCCTGCAGCATCGTGCCTCTGCCACCTGTGCCTCGGGTATATCTGACGTAGCTGTCCTTGTCGACAGGCTTGGCTAACGTCACCTCTATGGGGGACCCATCCAGCACCTTCGCATCGCAGGAAGAGTGCGGGAGAAGCACAAGTGTAAGGCAGTCTCCAAGATACATGGGGATTATCCTGTCTAAGAAGGCAGCTTCCCCGCATGGTTTACTAACAGAATGGGAAAATGGAGAAAACCACCCAAATCAGCCAAAATCTCCCTCCCACAGGTGGAAGGAGGCACTGGCTGGGTGAAGGTTCAACGTGTAGAGAGCATCCAGAGCTGACACCAACCAGCAGAGGCTAATTAACTGAATTAGCAGAGTTGTGAAGCCCTTGAAAAGGCTTCACTTCCCTGCAAAGCAGCACCTAAGTCAGCCCGATAATAGGTACTCCTATGGAGAACAGCAGTAGCACTAAAAATAGGAATGGGGTTAACACCTCTTTGGGAAAAGCTCTTGCATTACAGCACTGTGAATTACATTGCAGCGCAAGAAGTACTAAATACAGCAACCTCCTTGCAAATCTGCTTCTGAATTTGGAGCAGATGTTCTGGGTTGACCTTGTTTGTCCCTGTTTACTATTCACATGCTTCCCTTCCAGTGTTTTTGTTGGCAGACGTGAAACACGTATGTGAGTGCAAGCCAAGGGAACCCATAACCCCTCATTTTCTAGTCCTCATTTCAGTATTGCTTCAACTTTTTTCAGAGAGATGAACTACAGTCTGATCTGGGCAAACATTTATTATGAATGCAAAGGGAAATAAGCCAAAAAGAAGAGTTTGTGAACATCAGGGTTGAAAAAAAACAAATTCAGGAGCATAAAAGCAGCCTGAGAACTGAAAAAAGGACTAGCACCCTCAGGGTGTCTTTGTAGCTAATAAGCCTGGCATGTTTGTTTCAGCTGCATATAATATACTGCATGTAAGTCACAAAATAAACACTCAGAGCAGCTTTACCTTCCCATTCAAGGCTTTCATAGCTTCAACCGCATCTTCTCTTTTATTAAAGTGCACAAAGGCATAGTCTCTAATTTTCTTTACTCTTTCTACTGCACCTGTGGAAAACATTAGAATATTAGTTGGAAATAGGTATTAGCTGGAAAATATGTATCAGAATGAGCAATTGTGTTGGGTTGTGAGCCCTTCAAGAGCAAAAACTGGCCAAAGGTAAGAGAGAAAGTCAATGGTGTCTTCTTACCTCTTAGGATGCATATACCATGAGAAACTAAAGACAATGTCTGTGTTATTTCAAGCAAAACTAGAAATATTTGAAGGCAAGCACCCATATGGTTCCCATTAAACTGGAGTGGTTTGCTCCTGTCCAAAATGCTCTGTCTGAGGTTGTCTTTGGTTTTGTGTTTCACTTCTGTGACAGATCTCCAGGAGCTGGATGGCTGAGCAGGACACTTGGTGTTCTCACACTCAGTGTTCTTCTCTTCTGTGTCTGTCCTCTACAGCCTTCCCTTTCCCTTGTCAGATGCTCTGCTGCTGGGAACTTTGTAGCACCCAAATATTCTGGCTCTGAGATAATCACACTGGCACCTGCTCCCTGCAGGCCCAAGCTTTAGGTATCTACCTTTTCTCCTCTAGTTGTTCGTCTTTGTCAGTCCTGTCAGTTGTCAACCAGCCTAGCCAGCGAGGCTATAACACCCCTAAAAGTATCCTTTGGAAATGTGGCTAATGGATGCAGGATGACTTTTCTGTTGGTTTCTTTCCTTTTAAAGCTGAACAGGTGTACAGGGAAATATCCAATTGCCACAAAACAAAAACAAAAACAACAACAACAACAACAAAACACACAAACAAACAAACAAAAAACAAACAAAACAAACAACAACAACAAAAAACACGTACTTAAATAACTGCAGAAGGAAAAATATTTCTTTGGAGTTTAAGGGGTGGCATTAGGAGCTCCAGTGGGTTATAAATAGCCTGTTTCAGCCTATAACCCAAGCAGCCTGCATGTCTTCAAACTGACACTGAAATGGCAAGTGGCTCTTTGTGTCCTTCTGGGATTGGAGGGTGATTTTCTAAGCTCAAAATTAAGGTCATTATATGCTGATGTCTTGTTTATGAGTTGAGGCTTTAATGAACTCTCTGTGTTTTGAAAATCCCCCTTCTACCTCCTGGAAATTGCTCTGTGTTATTGATCCTCTCTCAAGCCAAAACCTTGCTCTTTCCTATTTATGGGACTAGGTGGCGTGCTCCCACCCCAGCAGGACAAGCAGCTACGTGACACCGCAAGGAGAATATCATTCCAGTTAGCACCTTTGGAGAGCGTGGCCTTCCTGCTGCCAGGGCAGAGCGCCTTGCTGTGGGAAGGTACAGACCTGCCCCTCCTTGCCGCTCTCTTTCAGCATCACCCCACTTCAGCTGCGAAGTCTGGAGCCCATTTAACCAAATGAAAACTTTGCCAGGGCTCAGGATATTTGCCAAGATCTCTAGGGAGTGAGGGCAGGGCTTCTTGTTGATGAAGTGATGCATATTTCTATAGAAGCCATCCGGCACTGAATTTGGCACAGATTTAAAAGGGGTGATACTTATGCTGTGTTACAACTTGGGATGCATACGTAGCATTCCTGGTAGTGTCTGTGGAGCTTGTGGTGATGTGGTAATTGCTCTGTAATGGGGACCTCTGCCTTGTAACTCCTCTCATTTGGGTACTTTTTTATTGGATGGCTCGTTATTGTCAAAACAGCTTCTAAATTCCCTGGATCAAATGTACACTTCAGACAAGTGATATTGAAATGTGACCCAACAAACGTAGCAGATAACCAAAATGGGAGGTGAATCATTTCAGCTCCTTGCTGAGTTGCTTAATTGTAATCTCACTATGACTTAGACTGCATTTATTCTCCTCAAAACTCAGGTTTTGCTTCTTCTAGGCATGTTTTTTTGAAAGTATGGCACAACTTTAAAAAGGGCATTCTTGGTTTCATCCACAATAATTAAGGCTTTCCTTAAAAAAAAATTAAAAATAAAAATTCCAGCATGAGAAGCAAAATGAGAAACTGTTGAAAAGACAAACTAAAGAAGATTCAAGTCTTCTGTTGTACTAGAAAACTTTCCTTAGGAGCAGAGCAGATGACTGTTACTGAAGTGTCAAATGGATATAAATGTGTTTCTGGGGAGTGTGAGCAGTTCAGTGATCAGGAACAAAACTGAATAAATAAAGGAGGAAACAGTTAAGAGAGTGGCATGATACATATTTAGCTTGGGGTTAAAATGGGATTTCTAACAGCTTGATGGTTACTTAAAGTATTAGCTGGTAACATTAGCTGGACAGGAAAAGACTTGTAAAGAAATCTCTTAAAGATCTTTGCATTGCAGCCTATTAAAAAAAATGGAGCAGAAATGAAAAGTTGGTGAAGGAAAAATGAAGCTCTGTAGTGTATTTTTAAAAAATAATAGAAGGAAGTTAATAGGAACGAGATGAATGGCAATTTCACATTGCCAAGCATAAGTTACTAATGCCTAATGGAATATGCGGCTTGGAGAGCTGCACAAATGGGTTATTTTTACTCTGTTGTTTTTGGGTGGAATTTTCTAAAACTGGAGCAGCTCAGAAGTAAAATCTCATCTGAAAGCCAGCAGGATTTTTATTCCCAACAAACATATTTGCTTTTTGAAAATCTCACCCTAAGACCATGTAATATATGCCATGAAAATACCATCATATCCCGCATAAAATGATAAGCACTGGTTATTCATAAATTTATGGAAGATCATTTTTGGTATGAAAAAGAAAGAATTCAGCATTTAGATAGATTAGATAAAAAGCAGTTGAATTAAACCATCCTATTTCTGTCATCATCCCTTTCTGTAGATGAAGAAAGCTGAAATCACCCAGCTGTTTTAACAACTCTCTTTTTCAAGAAGAGTCAAATGACTCAAAGTTGTTTTTATGATACAGGCATCCTCATGAAGTATTTTGGATCTCTTCCAGTTGCCAATCACCTTAAAAAGGTTAGTAGTGTTAGCTGTAAATTAATCAGCCCGTAGCAGAATGACATGTTATGCATGTTGGGTGGGAGCCTTCAGCGTTAATAGCAATTTTGCGGCATTACACATGAAGATTTCACCATGGAAAAACTGCTACTTTTTGTCTTCCTTTGTCATTTTATGAATGAAGAAATACTTCCATTTGCAGTAGCAGCACTTAAGGGCTGTGTCAGTGGGTTCCTACCTTGTTTGATGCTGTTGAACTCCTTTTCTATAGTCTCTTCGGTGGTCGAGAGCATGAGGTTCCTCACATAGAGGATTTTTACCGACGACATGGTGTCTTCATCCACCTCCACTTCTGGTTCTGCCCAGTCAACAGCAATAGGGTGTCCCCACAACTGGATCCTTCCTTTAAAGGGATTGGCATCATCAGTGTCAGAGAGGCTTAGGTTCCTCTCACTTCTGCTCAGAGTTCATTTCATATGCAGTATGAACAGTAGAATAGGTCAATTATACAAAGAGGGCCAAAATAAGCCTTTTGTGCTCAAAGCACTGCCTTTTAGTTTACTCATTTCCAAAAGCAGATGGTCACGCTTTCACAGGTTCCCACTAGCATCTTAGATGCCTGCAGAAATGTAGCATCCAGAATTTAAAAAGCAAATTTGTGGCACAATTCACTAACATCTGCATTCCCTGGAATGCTCTCTGAAGGGAAATATTGTAGTGGGTATACTTCTCTTAAAAAGATCCCTGTTGGCTGCAAATATTTAATTCCCTAGGAAGTTGGAAAGGGATCCAGAAGTCCCGGGGGATGAAATGAAATAGTAAAAATCAGGATGTCTCCATGTGCAAGTATTTGAAGCATGGTCCACACAGGGTGAAGTTGCAACAGAAGCAGTAGAAAGAAGGGAAACAAAAAGCAATGAGGCATAAAACAGGGTATGGAGAAGAAGCATATGGCTTCTGTATAGAGTGGATCAAGCTGCCAAGGGGCAAAGAATAAAAACAGAAAATAAAGAGGTAGTTAAAAGTTATGTTTTTTCCATGTGATCATGCTGAGCTCTGTAATCATTTGCATTGAGTTACTTAATCTATTAAGTAATTGATTAGCCAATTCATGATATTTAATGTGTAACAAAAACTGATGGCCACAGCCTTGCCTCCAATCAGCGTGAATTGCTGTGATAAGCATTTCTTCCCAGTCCTTTCAGCACATCTTTCAGGAAGAAATCCTTCCCCCTTCTCTTCAAGAGTGGCTGATATCTGGCCACTCACCAATATCCAGAGCCCTAAATTCCATGTGCTCGGTCTGTCACCCGTTTTTTCTCTGGCAATTTTAATCAGCCTAGCAGACAGTGCTTTGGATACACAGTAGGGACCATTTTCTGGCTTAGCAGCATGGTTAGTGCTGGGTATTTCCTCCAAAATAATGAAATAAAATGTCTGCCTCTTCTGCAAGTTTCCCTCAAACTAGTCCTGTCTGTGCTATTCTTATTACTTCTCTGATCTTTATGATATGATCTTTATGATTCTCCAAGGCCTAGGTGTATGCTAAAATCTGGAAGATACCTAAGTTGGTAGAAGGAAAATGAGACAAAACACTCTGGGAGGCATCCCGTCTTGCATCTCCACTTGGATAATCTATCTAAGATAGGATAGGAGCTCCAAAATAGAGGAAAATTAGAGGGAAGGGGTAGAACTTGGAGACCTGTTTTTCTGTAACAGGAGTTAAAAGCTGAAAAACAAACAAACAAACAAACAAAAAATGCTAAAATGTAAAGGGGCTGCTCCCTGCTAGGAAGTCCTGTGAATGAGCAGGGAACTGTGGAGCTGGGACTGCGGTTGATGTTCAGCTTCCAGCCCTGACCAGTCTGATGAACAGAAATAGACAGCAGCTAATGGCAGCCAGCTAAAATGAAAGGCCATGGTCTATATTCTAAGTTGCCATGTTCAGTTCAGTAGTGAAAATAACAACCTGGCTGATTCATAGCAAGGAGCTAAGCTTGGTTCTTGCTCTATCAGCTTGCTAAAACCCAGTCTTCCTCCACCTGCCTATTTAACCAGGAGACAAGACAGCTTTCATAAAAAACATCTTCATTTTGAGCTTTTCTGACTCTTCTACAAAGCTTCCTCAAAGAGCAGTGAGGTTCAGAGTCAAGGAAGCAACTTGATAATGATATTCAATTTCACATTCATCCAATGCATCAGCTGGAGACACATTCAGTCCTGGCTTGAAACCTTTTTCAAGTTCCTCCCGTATGTTTGGAACATCGGAAGACTGTCAATCCAGTTCAGGTCTTTGAAATTCCCAAGTTCCCAACCTGTTTACCAAGATGTCCCTAAATCGGAAATCACTAGCACATTGCACAAGGCTTTTCAAGACTATGTTCTCATTCCCATCTGCCTGACTGTCTTTGCTCAGGATTTCAAGTGCTTTGCTCTCTCAAGGCTGCCATCAGTGGCAGTGCCTGTGCCTGCTCCTTCCATCCTTCTCAATATAGAAACCATGAGAAAGTTATGCTGAAGCACAGACTAACAGAAAGTGCTCCTATAATTGGGGAGCTGCTAAACTGATGCAGAAAATACAGAATAAAAAGAAAAATAATCTGCGTGAGATACCCCACAATAGCAGGCATACTCAGGTATATATTACCTCTTGCAATCAAACTAATTTCTGACAATAAGAGAAAAGGTTTTAAAATGACAAGATTTTTCATGGGCTATCATGTAGAAAGAAAGAAAATTGGTGGGCATGATGTGTGAGGGTCAAGTGTCAGAACAGAAGGTTTATTGGATTCTTTCATCAGCAAGTGAGCTGACAAAGCAGTGCAGGAGCTGCTGCTGAGCATATGAAAGCATGAGAAAAACAGTGAAATCACTGCAAAGGCAATTAATGTTGTGTCTTTTTTGCTTATCACCTATCAATCTTCTCTTTGCTTCACTGTGTCCCCCAGCACTAAATTACATAGACTTATTCTCTATATAACTTTTAAATTCTAATGCAATTCCTCATCTGAGGTTTTCTTCCCATTTGGAAAATAAACATTTTCAGGAACATCCTCAGTACAATGTCAAGTCTGAATATGGTCATATTTCCCTAAGTGATGCTCCCCAGGAGGTCATAGATGAGGCCATATTTTACATACAACTCAAGATAACCATGGGATAATATATATCCCACAACAGAGCTGAATGGATACAACAGCTAGATCCATCTAGCTATATTTTAATAACTTCAAGCTCTTAAATGAAGCACCTGGCTAATGAGAATGGTGGTAAATCAGGCTTTTCAGTGAATCACCCACCCCACACCCCAGAGTCAGGGCATGTCTGGCAGCCCGATGGGTGTAATGGGGTCCCTCTTTGCTTGAAGTGAATCGTTGGCAGCCAAGATGAGAAAACTCAGAAGTGTTCCTTTCCTTGGGTATATGTTTCCTCTGGAGACTTCTGTGCTGTTATGCATACACAGGCATCTGCTAAATTGAAGCTGCCCCTACCACCCTCACCATCTGTACTAACCTGGGAGCAATTTTCGCCTGGCCATGGCTGCTGCCCGGTGGCTTTCATATTCCACAAAAGCAAAACCCCGGTTTTTGGTTTTATCAGCTGCACTTGGGTAGACAATGACATCCACAACTCCATCCGTGACTTTCTTCATCTCTGCTAAAATTTCCTCTCGCTTCTTTGTTTTGGGGATCCCCCCTACGAACAGGCGGCAGTTGTCCACGCTGGCACAGACTCCCAGGAGACGCCCATTCCTGCAGAAAAATGATATTGTTGGTTTGTCAGGACCCAAGATCACTTCTCAGAGAAAGGGGAAAAAAATCCCCCTTCTTGTCCCAAAACACAAGGCCAAATGCAAGGTCTCCCCCTTCTGTGGCACGTGTCGCTTGGGATGTTCCAGTGGCCTCACTCAACACAAGGGGCTAGATCCAAAGGCTGATAATCTGCTAAATTTGACATCAAAGTAAAGCAGCATATTTGAAACAAGGTACTTGAGATCAAGAGAAACCAAAGCCAATTTTTGCTTTTGACTCTTGAGAGTCTCTCTTTTGCTATTTCCAAAAACAGTTGCCACCAAGCAACTGTTCTGAGCAGCTGGGACACCACTGTGATTCTTGCATTGCCGTCAGCATAAGCCAGGTTTCATTGTGTTCACCAGTGACTTGCAGCTTCCTGATCACCAGAGAGCCTCACAGCTGAGGTTTGGGAAAGAAAATCCCTTGTTATGGGGAGACAACATTTCAGGGTTTATTGATGCCAATTGCTGTGCAGACACCCAAAGCAAAAATGTCTTTACATTCACTTTGCTCACAACGTTGTGGTCCAACTACCCCTTGCAGGTCTGGAGAAATCATAAATTTCTTTAGAGGCATCTTTGGGACAAGACAAGTAGGCAAAGGAGGTGGAGGTAGCATCTTTAGCAAAGGAGGTGGTGGAGCATCTTTAAGATGCTCCAGCATCTGATATAAGTCATGTTTCCAAACCTTCCCCATGTGCCTTGTGACCTGCTTATCCCTAATGTTGCCAGTAAAGCAATTCACAATCAATGTTTTTCTTTAAAATAAAAAAAATAAATAAAAAAAAAGAAAGAAAGAAAGAAAAAGAAAGAACAAAAAGAAAGCACTAAAATTTCCAGAATGGTTGATCTCAAAATGCTTTTTTAGCAATTGTATCTATTCATCCCACTTTGAACTGGAAAAAAAAATTAAATGGGGTTGAAATCAAAACAAACCATATTGATGGACCCATATGTTGTTGATTTCTAGGTGTTTTGTTCCCAATTTTTAGTCACAAACATGAGGGATTTTTCTGTTCCTACTTATTAGGAAATGTCACTGTTTTGCCAATTAGTTTTCATCCCATTTCACCATTTTTGTAATTGCTCGTGTCTCCCAGAACATATCTGCAGTATAGCTCATGTGAGACACAGTGGATAGGAATACATCAACAAAAAACAGCCCAGAAGGGAACATGAAATAAACAACAATGGTTAGACATCAGTTGATTTGATGCAAAGCAAAATATTTTTTCCAATGTTCTCGTAGATTTTTTTATTTTTATTATTATTATTTTTTTTAAGGAAGACATTTCCTGGAAAAGATTTTCTCTGAGTGCTATGTACTGCCTTTGTGCTACAGCATAAAGCAACAAATGCATAGGCAGAAAAGAAATGACTGCCTACTAAAGTTTAGGTATCTAAAGAAGCTTCCTCTGGGCTGTAGGGAAAAATATGCTGTCCACAACAATCCAGATTAATACATTATATGATTTAAAGTTGATGTGAAGGTGTATGCCATTCTCACCTAATTTCATAATTATTGAGTTGCTTTATTGCATTCTTTGCCTCCTGTTTATTTGAGAAGGTCACAAAGGCGTAGCCCCTATTGTTGCCATTGAAGTCCATCATCATTCTCATTTCATAGATTTTGCCAATCTGCAAATAGAAAGAAAAGTCATTTGTAAAGAAGTGTTTGCCAGGTGAGGTGTTTAAACAAGACTGGGTGCTTTCATGTCAGAACTCTTCAGATATCTTCATCTACAGGATAATCATCCAGAGCCTGTTCTGCTTTCACACAACTTTCTGACCCATGAAAGAAGTCATAAACACAGGCAGCAAGTGCTTAGGTGACAAGGGAGGGGGGGCAAAGTTAGCTCTTCAGCAAGGTGAGCAAGATTTTGGCCACTGACCTCAGCAGCCCCAGGGTTGTGGTTCTCACCCCCTTATGAGGTTTATGTTCCAGTTTTGAGGCTAATGCATCACACAGTAGAGAAAAAAAAAAAAAAAAAAAAAAAAAAGACTAAAAAACAGGAGGGATGAGGTGCAGCAATAGAATTGCATAGCCATTGGTGTCTGAATGGTATCACTTGCTCAGGCTTGTACATGAGTGGTTGGGTGGCTGTGCTCATTTCCTAGGTGGAGGACAGTGTGTTTTATATGACTGAAGTCTAACTTATGGAGGGAGGCATAGCTGGATGTTTCAGTACAACCTTCTACTCTAAGCAGGGCCAGCCCCAGTGTTAGATCAGCCCTGGTCATGGTGAGGAAACACCACAGAAGGAGCTGGAGGGGCTGCCACCAAACAAAGGGTAATCTGGGCCAAATCACCTCCAGTTCAACACGGAAATGTAGAGCTGATCTTCCGTAATCTTTGCAAAATATCTACCTCTCATAAAGTCTTACTTTTTCACACAGTGGTATAAGTTCATCTTCAAAGAGGTCCCGTGGCAGTTTCCCGATGAAGATCTCGCAGCCCCTCTCTGGCGGAGGGCCGTCCCAGCCTGGGGGGGGACCACCATATTTCCTTTGCCCATTTTCCTGCCATGGAGGAAAATAAAATGATGATGTAGTGGATAAAATCAGTCCCTTTGTGAGGAATGACACTTTGGGCACACCCTGTTAGTGCAGTGCCAGAGGTAAACACCCTCCTTCCTTGTAAAGAGCACCTCTTTGCAGGCTCAAGGGAGACGGGGCAGTGTGCGCTGGCTGCCCCACTGCTGTATTGGTACCGAAAGGCTTTAGCTTCTGAGCTAGTACGCTGGTCATGTACTGCAGTAGGCTCTGGTTTACACCTGGTTGAGTTTTGCTGAGGAACATGCATCAGCACGTTGAAGGGGAGGCCATTTCCACAGCTCAGCTGTCCAAGATTCAGACAGTCAAAGGCCTTGGAAAACGCAGGGGAAAGATGACGCCCATCCCTTCCTTCCTTCCTTCCTTCCTTCCTTCCTTCCTTCCTTCCTTCCTTCCTCCTTCCTTCCTTCCTTCCTTCCTTCCTTCCTTCCTTCCTTCCTTCCTTCTTCCTTCCTTCCTTCCTTCCTTCCCTCCTTCCCTCCTTCCCTCCTTCCCTCCTTCCCTCCTTCCCTCCTTCCCTCCTTCCCTCCTTCCCTCCTTCCCTCCTTCCTCCTTCCCTTCCCCTCCCTCCTTCCCTCTTCCTTCCCTCCTTCCTCCTTCCTTCCTTCCTTCCTTCCTTCCTTCCTTCCTTCCTTCCTTCCTTCCTTCCTTCCTTCCTTCCTTCCTTCCTTCCTTCCTTCCTTCTTCCTTCCTCCTTCCTTCCTTCCTTCCTTCCTTCCTTCCTTCCTTCCCTCCTTCCTTCCTCCTCCTTCCTTCCCTCCCTCCTTCCTCCTTCCTCCTTCCCTCCTTCCTTCCTTCCTTCCTTCCTTCCTTCCTCCTTCCTTCCTTCCTTCCTTCCAGAAGGAAGTTCGGAATAGCAGGAATTGAATGAAGGAAGTAGAATACGCTTAGTGAACGTCCTGGACTGAAGAGGTACCTCCTGTCTTTCTTTCTTTCTTCGTTTATTTCTTTCTTTCTTTCTTTCTTCTTTCTTTTTCTTTTTCTTTCTTCCTTTCTTCTTCTTCCTTCTTCTTCTTCTTCTTTCTTCCTTTCTTCCTTTCTTCCTTTCTTTCCCCTCCCTCTCTCCACCTCCTCTCCCTCTCCCTCTCCAGCTCTGTTGTCACATGCGTGATTGCCCTGTGCCCGAGGACGGATGGGACTCTGGTCATTTTTCTGTTTTTGCCTCCTGACATTTCTGTAGCCATTTCTCCCTCTGGGATTATTCTAGGCAATAGCTGATTTACAAAGAAGGCCTGAAGGACCTAAGCCTGCAGCAAACAGGGATCCTGGTAGGAATATCAGAGTATAGCACAAGCAATTTCAGTTTTCCTAAGCCTATAACCAGCCCTGAATTAGCCATGCTCACTCCCGTTTTGAAAATGTTTTCAGCATAATGATGAAGCTGTTTGAATTTATGAATGCATTTTCACAGCAGATCTAATGAGAAGATGTTTCAGGCTGCTTTTCTGCCCCCAGTTTGGCTGAACTGAGCACATCTCTAGCATGGAATTTTCATAGAATCATAGAATCATAGAATATCCTGAGTTGGAAGGGACCCTTAAGGATCATCAAGTCCAACTCTTGACACCGCACAGGTCTACCCAAAAGTTCAGACCATGTGACTAAGTGCACAGTCCAATCTCTTCTTAAATTCAGTCAGGCTCGGTGCAGTGACCACTTCCCTGGGGAGCCTGTTCCAGTGTGCAACCACCCTCTCTGTGAAGAACCCCCTCTTTCTATCTCTTCTTTCTATCTTTCTATCTCTTGAGCCATTTGTTAAAGCAATGATTGTATGTTGTGTTGCTGTGGTCATCTGTGATCTTCACTGGCATGTCAGCTGGAAGAAGGCCTTGGTGACCTGCAGAAATGCTACTTTCATCAATAATGGTCTGCAAAAAGCCAGCAGATTTTTACCCTCCTACTTTAAGCCAAGTGAGAGACAATCAGATTTTTTTCTCATTTTGTCAACATATGTGGGAGTGTCTCCTAGCGTGCTAGGAGACATGGCAAAAAGTAAAATCTACTCTCAGTCTGCAGTGGCTTCATTTGTGCCCTGAAGGATGAATCTCAATGAACTCATCTTGGCAATGTCTCTGTGGGGAAGGAGAGCTTCATTGTCCCCTTTGAGGAGACATGTGAGCCTGGCAGCTGTTGAAGAAGAAGGTGATGGTTAGGTTGGAAAAAAAAAAAAAAAAAAAAAAAGCCCAAAAAGATGTGGAAAAGAAAATAATGAGGGAAAAATAATAATAATAGTAAGAGAAAATGGAAAGGTTGAAGGAAAGGGAAAAATAAGGAATAAGAAGATTCTGGGTGGGCAGCAAAGCAGGAATCTGTGGTTTAGGAATGAGCTATTGCCAGATGTGACAGTATGAAAAACTAAAGATCAGGGTAAAAAAAGTCACAGCAAATAAAACACACAAAGAAGCTATTTATCTTCTCCTGGGTCAAGTACAGCAGGAAGGCTCCTCAAGTGCAACAAACCCAATGTTGTTCTGGTCCTGGGGCACACACAACATTAAGGACTATAGGAAAATGCTTTTTCCCAGGAGTCCCCTTTTTGCTTTGGTCTGTTGTGCCCTCTAGTGCTACACAAAGCAAGCCAAAGTTCACAGCAACCACCTGCCTGAAATTCAGTTTTCAGTTACTTCTTCCAGGATGCAAGGTAAGCCATATTTCTAGCAAGCACTTTTGAAAAATTTGCTTGTTTTGGTCATGCTAACTAGGGAAGACTTCCTGAGATGTTTTTGAAGGACTTGTCTGTTCCCCACCTGCACTAACCTACCCTGCCCTTGGGCCTTGGAGACCAGACGGAGAGCAAACCTGTGGCTTTTGGGCAGGCAAGACACTTTTACTTTTTTTTGCACTTAAAGATCTTTAAAAAGAGTAAATCTGGTGGTCACTTATGGGACTTTCTATGGACAAATCTGGGCTCAAGCTCTTCTGAAACCTTGTTTAGTGGGTTTTCTTTGCTACAGCAGCACTGCAGCCATGGCTTTCAGACAGCTATCCCAACTATTCCTGGAATATATCTGTGCTCAGGTTTTATTTCACCCTTCTTATATTGACAGGGGGAATACTCTGCCACCTCATAAAAGACAGACCCTGCTACATGAAGTTTTGTGCAGGATGTAAACTGGAGAGCAGCAGAGAGGGAGGAACAAGCAACCAGCACTTGCCATGTGCAGATTCGCTGCACAAGCCCCCGGTGCAGCACTGCTTCAAGATGAAACCAGACACCGTGTGCAGAAGGATGTGACCGTGAGTTCCTACCTGGATCAAATTATATCCCGTTCGCTGAATTAAAGCACGGAGGGCGGCTTCTTTCTGTGTGCCGGTCAATCCATCCCCGGATTTGTGATTTGATTCCATTGTGAGTGATTATCAGCAAAAAATCAGGTTAATTAGGGGTGCTCACTGCAATCAAATTTAAGATAAATTAAATAAATTAATACAGCTAGGAGGAGAAAGTCCACCCTCCTGAGAAAACTAACAGGATCATTCTTCCTAAATGAGTCATTCATTCTTCCTAAATCAGTCATTTTGAGATAAAATAAATAAATAAATAATACCACAGACCATGGAAAAAGCAAAAATATCCCCCTTTTCCCTGTTGCATGACAGCAAACCCACAATCAGATCTTGTCCAGTGCTTCAGCAACATGCAGGGGATATTGCAGCATGCATGTGCAGGTGTGTTAGGAGGGAATTGCATGCAAGGTGCCTAATCTGCCTTAAAGTAGGAGGCAACTTGTCCTTCGTGCTGTGGCATCCCCTTGGTACTGGGAAGGCCATCTGGCACTCTGCCCAGCACTCTGTAAGAGGTGTGAGACATAGGTCCATATATGGCCTGTTTTTAAAACTCAGGAATATGGGAGAATTTCAGATCTGTATCTAGGTTCAGGGCTGCGACAACCTCGGGTTCAGATGTTTTGATTCAGTGCTGTAGTTTTAGGTTGTATTTAATTAAATATTATAATATTTTTTTTTTAAGTTTACTTTTTGGGTTGAAAACACCATAAAGCTGAAATCTGAATCTGAATTGGGCCACACATGCTAGCAAAGGACTATTTTTAAGACAGACTCCTCCCTGCCTATAATTTCAGCCTGCCCATTATTTACCGAATGGGGAGCTTCAAGCCTATGGGGAGCTTCAAGCCATCATATGCATGGGCACGTGTAGAAATGGGTGTGCAAATGCAATGCTGAGCTTGAGGACTCACAATGTCATCATGGATGCTGTCATAGCAGGAGATTGCCAGTGAAGTCTTCTGAAGGGAAGACTTAAGCAGATAATTAAATTTAAATAGGTGGATTATCCTCAGTGCCAAAAATGGGGCATGAGCCCATGTTTTTGCAGGGTCTGAGCCTTGTGTCACTTGGGCTCTGCCACACTGAGCTCTGCAGGCTTGGAAATAGAGACATTTGTGTAACAGCAGATTTTGGTAGCTATTTATTGTGCAGGTTTGTGGGATGTTTTGGATGTCTTTTTGTTGTGTTCCCAGGCTCTCCTGTGTTTCAATTGCTGACAATGTGCGGGGGCTGGGAGATGGACTGAGCCATGCAATAGCTCTCTCCCATCTCTAATTGCAAAATGAGTGTTTTCCGCAGCAACTGGAGCCTGATTATTGTTTTGGTTTATATTTCATAGAATCAAGTCTATATTTAAGCATGTGTGTGTGTGTGTGTGTGTGCGTGTATCCTTCAGATCAGAGGGATTTCTTTAATGCCTGGAAAGCATGGAGTGAGCTCAGGCTTTGCAGGGGAGGCATGGAGGTTGGTGGATACCCAATGCATGACCTAATCATGCCTTTGCCCATGCCGAGGGCAGCAGCAAAGCCCCATTGATGCTCATGGTTTCTCCTGCAGAGCTGGGTTTTGGCATGGCACAGGGCAAAGTTTCCAGGCTGCTTAAGAAAGTAAAAAAAGGTCTGGCAGTGCATATTGTATGCACTTGTTCCATGATTGGTGGTCACTCAAAGCAAACAGTTAAAATCCACATTGGCTCTGCAGCCTCCCTTGCACAGGCAGAGGCATGCTCTCTATGCCTTATGGAGGAAAGTGCTGGTGTATTGCTAATTTAGCCCCTTGTATTTCGCTGTGTCCTGATTTCACCAAGGGCTTGAGTGATCAAACTGCAGTACTGGGATCAGTGTGAATTTGCACCAAGTTTCACTGGTTGGGATTTCATCATGTGTAAGAGCTGCAGGAGGCTATGCAAAGGTGTGAATCACACCAGCGCCGAGAGGCTACATCCCATCCCCACCCCAAGGGCCACGCAAAAGGCTTTGTCCCTCTCAGTGGGACACATCGGTGCTGCAGAGGCAGGTGCAAGGGCTGCAGCAAACTGCTCAGTAACACTGAGGGTGGCGGGCTGCTGGCGCTGCCGTCACACAGAGAGCTGCCTGCACATCTCCACTCCTTGCCAGGATGGGAAGAAGCTGGACTGCAGCCAGCCGAGCCTGGCGGGTTTCCATAGCAGCTGAGGTTCCCAGTCCCATCCCCAGCGGCGACCTAGATAGACGGCAGTGCAAGAGCATTTCCCCCCCCGCTCTCTCCTGACAAGCTGGTGGCTCGGCTGGCTGCTTCAAACGTATTTGCATGGGGTGCCTTAGATGCCATACATCTCCGTGCCTCTCATCTGAGGAGGAGTACCACACACACATCCCAAACCCAGTCATAGCTTCCAGTAATGTTTCCATCCAGGCAGCAGCTTCTTTCTGAGCAGAGAAAACGAGCCATGGGGAGGGCGGAAGGACGGGAATAGCACATCTCCCGGCTGATGCATTTACAGCAGAAGCAATATCCCTCTTGGGCTTCTGCCTGAGTTGATAAGGCCAGACAAGCTCTTCTCATAAGGCATCCTGCAAATTTTAGCCTCTTTTAGACCAGCATGTCTAGACAGTTGCTTATTCCAGCAGAGAGGATAAGTTAAGCAATCCTGATTTAAGGTTCGGGACCATGGCTGGACAGCACTGTGCCTGCAGGGCTTGTGCACCACCTGCATCCTGTTGTGATAGTGCTGCTCTTAGAAATGAGGGCCCTCCTACTAATTAGTGCTCCAAATTCATTCATAGCTAATGTATCAGCCTTGTTAGAGAGCTTTCCTCCATTGGGTGGATTTCCTTGGGATGGAGACAGAAATGATACCTCTTTTCGTTAAGAGGAAGAAATCCCTACAAAACAACTCCCAATACCCTAGCACAGTTAAGCAGCCTTTCCAGCCCCCAGTTTTCCAAGTACCTCCACTCTCCCTACTTCTCTCCCTCCTCCTGAGAACACCTAAAAATCTTTTTGCAGGGGGTACTTTCCCACCTCCACCACCCAAGAGTCTGTTCCCATTTCCATCACACAGACCCCAAACCATGGTGTCACATTTAATTTCCTAAACCTGTGGGATTTCAGCCCTTTCCCATATTCCAGGTGTCAGTGCCAGTACGTGCAAAGGAGGAGAGCTGCTGTCATGGGACCAGGGAAACATGATTACTTTCTCTCTTTCTTTGTTCCCAGAGTGATCAATCAATTAGCAAATCTGTCCTGACAGGAGGAAAACTCCCATTTCAATGGCTGCTCTCAGGAATTGTGAATGCCTACAGCAAATTAAGGCAGTATTTTTAATATTATTTACCCAAAAGAAAAAAAAAGTTAATGGAAATAATTGTTATGGAATTCAATCATTTTCAGGGGGTTAACCCACAGATTTCTTGCTGCTAATAATGGGGGGGGAGGGTTGCATTTTATTCAACAGGTGTATCTCCTATTTCTTCCTCATTTCTGGCCAAATTGTTAAAAATACTGCCTTGTTATCATGGGCACAGAATCCAGAACCCCAGGTCAATAGGAAGGGAATTTTAAATCAGTATTGTTTCATTTGATTTTTCCCTCTCTGCAGCAAAAGTTATTGTTCATTTTAGGTTTCTCTTAAAACTCTAAAATGCCAAGACAATGAAAGGCACTTTTGGCATAGAAAACCCCATACCGATGAGAAGTAAGCTTGTTACAGCACCGCTTAACCTCCCCATGACCACTTCTGTGCACCATTTTCTTGTCATTTTCTGAAGCATGGAGACCTTGCCAGCCTGCCCACTGGTCCCAGGGCTTGCCCCAAAGCAGAAGCAAGGTCAAACCCTGCTCTTCCCAACTGCTTTTGTGCCTGGAGCCTGCCAGCTCACAGCCCTTCGGAGAAACCTGGTTACCGTTTCCATGAATGAGATAACAAACCCCTGTTTATCCTGTGTGGATCGATGCACCTTCTTGTTTGAATGTATCGAGCCATGCAGGCACATCCAGTGAAGACTGTTCTGCCCCCATGCAGCCACCCCACGCGAAGAGTTACAGCTCCCATATATATCCATATAACATGAAGTATTCTTTGTATTCTTCCTAAAATCAGGCTCTTTAAGCTTCTTGAGCTGCTATGAGATACACCAGCTCTTAGCCTGGGTGAGACACACTGCAGGACAGAGTCCAATTGAGCAATGAGGGTGTAATCCCTTAACTTTCCAGAGAGGAGTTTTTTTCCAGGTTGTCCCACAGAAAGTGGGTACTTTTAGGTATTTAAAAGCAAGTGGTATAGCATCCCTAGGTACAATGTGCCTTGGAGGTATGGAAAAGTGCTGCCCGCATGCAGCATTTGCAGCACGTGAGCCTTGAGAAAATACTTCACTTTTAATATTTCACTTTTCTTAGAAAGAAGCTGCTCTCCTGAAAACAACTGCATTACCAAATGCATGCAGCGCACCCTAGAAACTCCTTCCAAGGATGAGAGACACCTGATGCTGAGCCCAGCCTCCTTCCCCACCCTGTTTTATTTGCAACATCATGATGTGTCAGATGCTTTGAAGCCAACCTTGCACTCACTCCTGCCTAAGCCTCCTGTTTCGCTCAGGGAATATAGCTTAAGGGAAGCATTAAAGGACTGGGCAGGAAACTATTTGGAACAGATTAGGGAAATTTGAGATTTTTAGGAGCAGTAATTGCATTTGAAACAAAGACTGACCTTTTGCAAAGAAAAGTAGGAATAAGAAGTCAGCTAGGCCAAGTGAAGCGGTCCTTAATGATTAGCCCTGGAAAGTTGCAATTTAACAAATCAAGACTGAATTATCGCAGGGAAAATCCCTCCTCCCCCCAGCCTTGTCTGGCTTCAGTTTTCAGCAACCGTGGGTGATCGGCATGAGGAAAGCGCTTAAAAAAACTCCCGGCTGCCGCTGCCCAGGCAGAGATGATGCCGAATGCCCTTGTCTGCTCACCTTGCTTATCAAAATGTCAAGGCGAGTCTTGCGGGGCCAAGCCATGGGGTGCTTGGGGCACCCCCTGGTTCCACCCCAGCATTTCTGGGCAGTGCCCGAGGCATGCATCTGATTGTGGGTCCTCGGCAGGGGAAGGCGCGTGGCCGAGCCTCCTCTTCCCCATGCCAGCTGTGCAGAGCTGGCCAAAAGCCCCACTTCACGGGGGGCCATCTGAGCCCCCCACACCCCAGGCCTCACGGTGGGATGAGCCCGAGGGCGGCAGCGTACCTGAGCAATTTGGGAGATCACCACACGGGAAGAGGTCTCCTTGATTATGGGGAGTTTGCGACGTGTCACTCCGGTTATTCCCCAATCGTCATATCAAACTCCAAAGGTTCAGCAGCCCCTGGCTGGTTTACAGTCCCTGCAGGTTAAACGTTAACCTGCCCTATCTCCTGGCTCCCTGCAGGCCTTTGACCAGATAGCTGGGTCACTGCTGCTCAGACGGCACCTACGCAGGCTGATTTTTGCAAATAAATACACAGGGCCCGAGTCAGACCGCAGCTCAGAGGCAGGTGTGGAGGACAGCCCACTGCTACCATTTATTCGCCCCATGCTCTCCCAGCCAATCCGTCTCCATTGCTGTTGCTCCCAGCAGAAATCCTGGGAGAAGGGACACAGCCCTGACTGCCACGGGTGTTTTTGGCTTCTTGGAGGCAGTCCAATTGGCCTCACCATTGGCCTACACACAGAGACCCTGCAAACTGCAAATGGCATGGAGACTGTGGCCTCTTCTGCCGACCAGGAGACTCTGAGGCTCTCCGAAATGGGTACTCTCCAGGTGTCCAGATAATGCAGTCCCTGGGGTATCGTGCTGCATCAATCAAACATTTGTCTCTGCTAAAACCCTTCTAGACCCTAACAGTAATGAAATGGGCACCGTGGAGTGCCTTTTTCTACACGGACACTGAGCTACGCTCGAGATGGGCTCAGGCTGAATTTCAGGGCATTTTAAATGAAGCGTTTACAACCAGGTGCTGCTGACACTTGGAAAAGTGCTGTGGTGCTGTTTGTCCAGATTTAAAAGCATTAGGTCTTTCCACATGGTTGGGAGACAGCCGTGCCCTGCTCAACTCAATGGCATGCGTAACTTAACTGCTCTGTCATTGAGGCACTGGTGTGGTGACCCATTTCATGACCCCAAAATGAGGTTGCTCCCAAGCCAAGGCCTGCCCTCTGTTACCCACCTTTTTGCTGAATTCAGGGGTTCAAATGTAGATTTTGGAGCTTATTTTTAAGTGGAAAACAAACAAACAAACAACACCCAATCCAGTTGTGACCACTACTACTAAGTACAGAATCCAGAGAGGGTTTAAGGGCTGCTGCTTTTTCTGGCATCCTGGGCAGAGCTTGGGAGTAATGAGCAGGTAAAGCATAATTTTTTCCCCTATTGAAAGGATTTGTGTCTCTTTGGTGTGCCATCCTACCTCACTTGCCACAAGAAACCTGTAAGATTTGACCACCGATGACATCAGATTTCAGGTGTGACACCAGCTTGCAGTCCAGTGTGCCACCAAGCATGTCAGGATCTACAGGGAAATGATTTGAAATTATTCGGTGAAAATGCCACAGCCCTAAGTTGTGATAGTGAGAGAAGCACCAAATCATCTCTGAAAAAAAATAAAAAAGTAAATGCCATGCATCTTCTTGTGACCATCAATAAAATGGTGTCATGAAAATGTCTCTGGGGGAGAGGCAGAGAGATAACAACAGAAGATGCTACCTGTGAGCAGCTGCGGGTGAGTCTGATGATACGTGAACAAGACTGGAAAGTGCAACATATGCAGTTGTGTCTGAAAGCATGGCAGAAGTCTGACGTCCAGCCAAGGCAAACAGACGTTTTACAGATTTGGGACTGCTGCTCTGGGAACAGTTTTGTCTCCGTGTGCTCTCTCAATGACTGGGTTGTCCAAGGCAAGAAATCTCATGCAGCCACATATAGCTGCAATGGCATTGCTGGGGAGGAAAAGCCATCTGCTCATTAGATGGAATGCAAACAACAAGTGGTGTTATATGTGTAAATAAATGGATGAATTTGGGATTAAAAGCTGGCCACTGAGTCCCATTTTCAGCTAAAAGGCATCTGTGCTTCCACCGGTTTGACCCACAGGGGTGGGGGAAATGTGATAACACATATGGGTGCAGGGAGACCACACAAAGCCAGCCATTCAGATGAGAAAGGAGGTGGGATTTAAACTTAATTTTCTTGAAGGCCCTCAGGTTGCTATGATGCTTTTCCCCTATGTCTTCCTCTCCCTGGGGCAGACTTTGCTCAGAAGAGGAGACGTGATCTGTGTTTATTCTTCCTGGAAAGCCTCTCGAGAGGCACAGTGGAGAAGCCCCAAGAGCAGTAAGATATAATTGCTTCCTTTTCCGTAATCATGCCAGCAGTGGGTTGCCTGTTTGAGGGTTTCTCTTAGCTTGCCAGGTGGGATATAAGTAAAATCACTTCCAGCTCAAGAAAAGCAACACTTCAGCAGACATTGCCCCTTTGTGTTAGTTACTTCCTGCCACAAAATTCCTAACGTGAACCCAGACCCCAGCTTCCCCTGGAAATGCTTCAAGATATCTCCTGGGCTGCCCAGCAAGGGATTAATAGCAAATCTTCAATTATCACTGTCCTGCTGGCTGTGATGGGGAACAGAAGCTGCCCATTAACATCATAATGAAGCCATCAAAAATAATTTTGATTTCAGGAAATGCAGGGTGAGCTGCCCAGGACCTCTCGGGGAGTCATTCCTCAGCCTCCACTTACTCAAGTTTTGAAGTAGGGAAGATATTAATTTAACATTGGGATTTCCTAGAGCACTCCTGGGGAGGCTCAGGGAAGAAGTGGGTAGGAATTCAGGAGAACGTGGTTTTGGAAAGTAATGATGCTAAGATATTGTCCACATCCATCAGAACTGTAAGGCTTGACTTTCTCCAGAAGGTAGATGTTCCCAGGCTCCACAGCAACCAAAGCCACATGGGTTTTGGTGGCTTACTTGCCTTGGCTCGGGAGGCTTACACGTAGTGCAGAAAGAGGCTTTGCAAGAAGGATGGACGCAATTTAAAAGTTATAAAGTAGAAGTTTAGAGTTAACACATGTAGTTAGATGAGACTTAGCATAGAATATATAGAATAGAATGTCCTGAGTTGTAAGGGACCCATAAGGATCATCAAGCCCAACTCCTGGCACCGCACAGGTTACCCAAAAGTTTAGACCATGTGACTAAGTGCACAGCCCAATCGCTTCTTAAATTCAGACAGGCTTGGTGCAGTGACTATGTCCCTGGGGAGCCTGTTCCAGTGTGCAACCACCCTCTTGGTGAAGAACCTCTTCCTGATGTCCAGCCTAAACTTCCCCTGCCTCAGTTTAACACCGTTCCCGCAGGTTCTATCACTGGTGTTTATGGAGAATATGTTGGCGCTTGCCTCTCCACTCCCCGTCGTGAGGAAGCTGTAGACTGCGATGACGTCCCCCCTGGGCCTCCTCTTCTCCAGGCTGAACAGGCCCAGTGCCCTCAGCCACTCGTCATATGTCTTCCCCTCTAGGCCATTCACCATCTTCGTCACCCTCCTCTGGACACTCTCCAACAGTTTAATGTCCTTCTTGTACGGTGGTGCCCAGAACTGCACACAGTACTTGAGGTGAGGCCGCACCAGTGCAGAGCAGAGCGGGACAATCACCTCCCTTGACCGACTAGCAATTCCGTGCTTGATGCACCCCAGGATACGGTTGGCCCTCCTGGCTGCCAGGGCACACTGCTGGCTCATATTCAACTTGCTATCAACCACAACCCCCCTCTCTGCAGGGCTACTCTCCAGCGTCTCGTCGCCCAGTCTGTACGTATAACCAGGGATGCCCCGTCCCAGGTGCAGGAACCGGCACTTGCTCTTGTTAAACTTCATGTTGTTGGTGATTGCCCAGCTCTCCAATCTGTCCAGATCTCCCTGCAAGGCCTTTCCACCCTCATCCGAGTCCACAACTCCTCCAAGTTTGGTGTCATTGGCAAATTTGCTCAAAACTCCTTCTAGTCCTACATCCAAATCATTTATAAAAACATTGAAGAGGACTGGCCCTAAAATGGAGCCTTGAGGGACCCCACTAGTGACCATCCGCCAGCCAGATGTGGCACCATTTACCACAACCCTTTAAGCCCTACCTGTCAGCCAATTGCTCACCCATCGTATGATGTTTTTGTTAAGTTGTACCCTGGACATTTTGTCCAGTAGGATCCTATGGGAAACCATGTCAAAAGCTTTGCTGAAGTCCAAAAAGATCACATCAACTGGTTTCCCTTGATCGACTAGATGGGTGATCTTGTCATAAAAGGAAATCAAATTTATAAGGCAGGACCTACCCCTCATGAACCCATGTTGGCTGAGACCAATGACTGCATTGTCCCCCGGGTGCGCTTCAGCGTTGAAGACAGAGGTGAAGGAGGCATTAAACGCCTCTGCTTTGCCTATATCATTGTCTGTGAGGAGACCTTCCCCATCAAGTAGCTGACCTATGTTTTCTTTGGTTCTCCTTTTTCTGTTCACATATCTAAAAAAACTTTTTTGTTGTCTCCCACAGACATGGCCAGCTTCAACTCTAGTTGGGCTTTGGCCACATGAATTTTCTCCCTACAAACATGAACAGCATCCCTGTATTCCTTCCTCATCACCTGACCCTCCTTCCAGCAACCATACACTTTCTTTTTTCACCTAAGCTCCAGTAGAAGATCCCTGGTCAGCCAGGCTGGCCTTCTGCCCCCCCTGCCTGACTTACGATATTTTGGAATTGCCTGATCTTGTGCTTAAAGACTGACCAGCACTGATGGACACCAATGCCTTCAAAAGCAGTTTCCCAGGGGACCTTGCTGACTAGTTCCCTGAGCAGCATGAAGTCTGCTTTCCCCATATCCAGGGCTGAAGTTTTGGTGGCAGTTTTCCTTCTGTCACCATAAATTCTAAACTCAACCACTTCATGGTTACTATGATCGAGATGGCTGCCAATTGCTACATCTCCCACAAGATCCTCTCTGTTCTCCAGCAACAGATCTAGGAGGGCACCTTTCCTAGTCGGCTCCCTTAGCACCTGCACCAAGAAGTTATCATCTAGGTGCTTTATGAACCTCCTGGACTTGCTTGTGTCAGCTGTGTGGTGATCCTAGTTGACGTCTGGCAGATTGAAATCCCCCATAAGGACAAGGGGAGTTGATCTTGAGGCATCTCTTAGTTCTGCAAAGAATAATTCATCGGCGTTGTCATCCAGGCCAGGTGGTCTGCAATAGACTCTCACAACGACATCCCCTTTATTTGTTCCTTAATCCTTACCCAGAGGCTCTCAACTTAACCATTGCCAACTTGAAGTTCCACACAGTCCAGCCCATGCTTCA